CGTATGCACTAGAAGTCTACTAAATAAGTCTGTCGATATAATAGTCAACCAAGTATGAATTCAGACTACTTACCTGTCGGAGCATATTCTCTTTCATAAATTTCCTTCCCCTGGATCCCTTGTAAGCTATCAGCGGTACATTGGGGTCGTTTGGAAGAGGTTCACCAAATTTAGCAGCAAAGTCGGGAAGAGCAAAGTAAACCCAGACTTGTAGTACTTGAACAAACCCCTCAATGGTGTACGACGACTTCCAAATTTCTTTCTCCTTCACCGACCGCATCAGGTTTTTGAAGGCCACTCTTCCCCAAGGGTAGTTTTCAAACGCATCTAAATCCATCACAAGCCTTGCCAACCTAGCCCGAGTAGCTGAAGATGGCTTTCGTGCTTCAATGTACCTAGTATAAATGCTAAGGTATCCTAGCCTCAATCGATCCTCGGATGACCACGACCCGCATTCCTTACAAGCTTCTATCAAATCTTCAGTGCTCGGGCCCAAATCCTGATTGACTCCCAATCGCTCCCAGAAATCTTGCATCTCATCAGTTATCTCAACCACCGGATCCTCGAGGTTGTCCACGTACTCGCAATTCAAGCCAGTAATATGTTCGAACTCATTCAAAGAAAAATGGATCGGGATTAGACCTACGAGGCTCCAAATCTCAAATTTTTTCTTGCAAACTAGCTGCATGCCGAGAATGTAATGCACCAGTCTAGATGCCCAGCCGAAATCCAGCTGACTGAACTTCAAGAACACTCCCAGTCTAGAGTTCAATATCTCTTCCCACTCATCTTGTGTGAGTGCTTCCTCAAGTGCAGTCATCAGCTTCGTCTCACCGCTATAGTAACCGATGCTTTTCAGCGGAGACGGCTTATCGCCTTTCGAGAAGAGACGCGGGGGGAACTCTGGGTTTTCCATTGGCTGTTCTGACGTCTGCAAAACGAAGTCAAATATTCAAGAAGTCTACTTATGAAGACTTCCGAAGAAGACTGCACACGAAGTCAGCCAACTAAGTCTGCAATTGAAGTCTGTAGACCTAATAGTGTAATTAATAAAGTTTCAAAACTAGCCGCCGACAATGTTCTCTAAAAAAACACAACCCGATTTGAACTCCGTTTTACGAGATAATACTTTCAAAATAGTTCGTCTAAACACTATTCAAGTCCGTTTAATAAATAAAAAAAGTACAGATATCTGTAACACAGCAACTAGAAACTTGGAAACGGGTATTCGATTTTTGTCCGACTTTGGAAATCTCTACTCGGTGTTGTCCGATTTTTAGAAAAACCGATGTAGAAAACCCAAACGACTAGGAACTTGGAACCCATAAAGATATTTATTTACAAATTATAAGAAATTAGTACAGCCAAATACCTTTCCACGACCAACGGCGGAAATGAACAGACGGCGGAAATAAACAGTTACGGACATCGGCGACACCAGATCTGGAATAGAAAGCGAAGGAGATTAGGGTTTGTGAATTACACAGACGACTTCTATCCAAAAGAGAAGTCGGCATCAATTTCGACTTACCTTAAACGGTAAACGGATGTACAGTAAAAACCGGCGACAAGTTCCGAGAAAAATTTTCCAAACGACAGTAGTTTTTTTTTTTACCGATTTGTGTTAATACAGTGTTCGTAGAAACTCTTATATATGACCGTAGAAACCTATTTAACCGTCGTACCGGTTCAATAACCGTCGTACCATTTCAATAACCGTCGTACCAGTTCAATAACCGTCGTACCAGTTCAATGTGGTTTATCGATTTTGTTATTTAAAACGCAATTGGTTTAGCCAATTATAGCAAGTTTGCAATATAATTTTAAAACTGTCTGGTTTAGTTTATTTGACGTATTAAGTCTGCATATTAAGTCTGCCTAAGAAGTCTGCATATTAAGTCTGGTTAAGAAGTCTGCCTAAGAAGTTTGCATATTAAGTCTGTTTTAAGAAGTCTCCAACGAAGTCTGCCTAAGGGCATCCTCAGTGCAGATACCCTCATGGGTCTCCAAATGTGTTTTTTATTAATTTCATATGAAAAGTAGTTTTAGAGATTGTATGTAGAGACCCTTAACTCACGGCCTGCATATGTACAAAATACACAAAGTGCAATTCCCCAGTATATGAACAATGTATATGCAACAGTCAACACCAACATTAATCACCATAGAAGTCAAATACATATGTTTTATCCCACCTAGTCTACTTAAAGGTTACACAAGTCTCTTGGTCCTCTATTCTACATCCCAACGCATGAAAACACAAGAGATTACTGCAAAAATAACTAAAAAAATACAAAGTAGGATATCAGAACCTCGATTAGCAAGTGCTTCTTTCACTCCAGCAATTTCACTCTGAATGAACCCTATGAACTCCTCGATCTCGCTAATGGTCTTCTCGGTTGCAGCAAGGCGATCCTCCAATGCATACAGCCGATTCTCATATGATTGCAGAAGGGCTGTTCGGTTGTCACGGAACATGCTTTCGCTCTGCTTGTCAATTCGTATTTGAAGAATGGTCAGCTGCTCTTCAATGGCTTCATCCCACCATTTGGAGATGTGACCCAGTTTATCCTACACATATGACAAACGAAAACTTCAGTTATACTCGATGAAGAAAACTTCAGTTATACTCGATGAATAACATTAAAACTATACACATATTGAGAAAAACCTCATTAAAACTATACACATTCGCCTAATATTTCAGGGCAACTATAGAACTTCCTGCTCTTCCAATCTACATCGAAGGCCGCAATAGCATCGTTCAGGTATCCCAAAGTCTCCATCAGCTTTGGCACACCCGCTGTCATAGCTTGCTTTGGAAGATGAGCTGTTGGTGTAGCTTATCGGCATTACTCTGTAGAGATCAAGCAAACAAACTTGGCAGTTAACAAACAAAAAACTAAAACAGATACGACCACATAATAACTTTGCAGCTAAAAACAAAACAACAAAAACAACTTTCCAAACAAATATTTCTTACTCGCTAAACAACAAAATAACAAAAAAGGTACATCTTGAAATAAAGAAAAAAACGAAATATTTTTACTTACTTGCTCACGAAATCTGTGAAAAAAGTATTTTTTACTTAGATCTGTTAAAAAAACAGTAAAGCAAAAGGACAAAAGAACAAAAGAACAATTTTAAAGGACAAACCAGTAAACAATAAGATACGGACTAAACAGAGAATGTAATGGCGAATAACTCACAGATCTGGAGAGATAACTAAGAACGATGAAGACGCCGGCTGAGATCTGCAGCAACAATATATGTAGTGATATATATGAAACAACATATGCATCAGAAACAGAAAAGAAGAGATGGGGAGCGCCGGGAAAGGCTTACTGCGAGAGAGAGTCGCGGCGAGAGAGACCAGAGTGCAGCGCCGTTTTACAGTGATCTAGGTTTTTTTATTTGTGGTAACGACTGGTAAGTTTCTTTATATACTATGTTAAAAAAAAATTCCGGTTAGGTTAATTATTCTGGTTTGACTAGACTTCGATCCGTAGTCTGCTGAGCAGACTGATAAAGAAGTCTGCAGCCCTAGTTTAAAACTTTTCACTTTTTATGTTTATCTTAGATGGTTAAAAATGATTCATATTTATTAAATTATAATTTTTATAGATCATACTTGTTGACATTTGATTTATAGAAACAAATTTCAGTTTACATTATTTTTATATAATTTTAAAATTTTAAAATAAGATTTAATGATATAGTAGACTTCTTTATCAGTCTGCTGAAGTCTGCAGTCCTAGTTTAAAACTTTTCACTTTTTATTTTTATCTTAGATGGTTAAAAATGATTCATTTTTATTAAATTATAATTTTTATAGATCATACTTGTTGACATTTGATTTATAGAAACAAATTTCAATTTATATTATTTTTATATAATTTTTAATTTTAAAAATAATATTTAATATTATAGTAGATTTTTTTATCAGTCTGCTGAGCAAACGTCATTAGTATTTGCAGACTTCGAAGGGTTATAATCGTAATTAAGACATCCGTTTTATTATTTACTCATGTAGGAGATAATGGTAATTTCTCTACCTCTCGAACTTATTTTTGCAATAGGTTGAAATTGAGATATAATTTTGCATTTGGAATCAAATTGTGGCCTATTTTTAGCAATTCCCCCTTGTTTTTATTGTCACTTTTATGGTCTTCATGCATCACAAAGAACTCTACATAAGAAATCTGGTAATGCTAAAGCTTTAGCCACGGAAACCAAGTGCTGAACTTTCAACATTCCTCCTCTTCCTATTGACAGTTTGTTTCGAATGTTTTCTTTGGCGTTGTTTTTTGAAACATCCGCGGTTCTTCCAAAAACTTGTATTTATACCTAGAAACAAATAAAATTATTAGCAAATGCATCTGGTAACTATTTTCTTGATTAGTTCATAAAAGGTGTTCAAGCAGCCAACTTAAAAGTTAAAACTGAGACTATTTTTTTTTAAATGATGTATTTGTTCTTAGCATTAAAAAAAAAATGATGTATTTGGGTTTTATTTTTTACCAAAAGGCCCTTTTAAAATGGGTAAGTTCGATAGTTTTTAGTTTACCTTCTTTTTTTCTTACAATAGTTGACATTATAATTTTTTTTTAAATAAAATTTGACCTTTAACTTGTTTACCATTTACCAAATAAGTATTCTCATACTTTCTTTGTATGTTAGTAACCCATTTTGAAATCAGAATGTCCTCTTAATTAAGCAAAGAATAACTTAGATGTATTCTTGAAATTATCTAATATACCTGCCTTCCATTTTTACAAAAAAAAAATGAGTTAGGAGAATTTATTCGTTGAGTACACGCATAATCATCAACATTAAGACAAGCATAATTTTCTGAGTATCAATGTAAACAAAGAATAACTTAATATCCTTTTTTTGGGTCGAACTTAATTTCATGTTATGTTATGTATTTATATAAGGAAACCTCTCATCATTACTTGAAACTAAAACAAAAGAAAAATTATAGAAAATTCTAACATAAGAAAATTATATTTATTTCATCTATGTCTATCTTTGATTTGTATCTATTATATCCAACGCGCGGTCTAAAATGTGATGCATGTAATCTTGGAACAAACAACTATAGTGATGGATATCGTTGCTTCCGTTCTGGACTCTTTTTTCACAAGGAGTGCATCAACTCTAATCGAGATGTTCTCAGCCTCTATCATCCACAACATCCTTTAGATTTAAAGGTAGTTGCAGAAAATGAAGATGTACATGGAGAATGCAAGCTTTGTAGAGGTAACTTGCTAAAAATGTATTATCATTGTTCTATATGTGATTTTACAATCGATTTGCTATGTGCAAAAAAAGAAGTTATGGTAACGATTGAAAGTCCCAAGAGCCACGAGCATCGTTTATCCCTTGTTCCAAATATGATTATGTTTACTTGTCATATATGTGAAGTGCTTGATGATCGGTTTCCTTATGCATGCAACATATGTGATTTGAAATTTCACAAAGATTGTGCCGAATCTACACCAGAGCTCAACTACTCTTGTCATCCCAAACACCCTCTCAAGCGTCTGACGCGTGTTCCAAGTTACATTGATGGAAAATGTTGCTTGTGTGGAAGCAAGCTTCATAATTTATTTTATCACTGTTCTATCTGTGATTTCAGCGTGGATGTTGATTGTGCAGAGAATCCACCTCTTTTCACTCTTGTCCACCCCAAAGCTCATGTACATCCACTCACTTTTTTGCCGCAACGCATTTTTGTTTGTAATGCTTGTGGAATAATGGATGATGATCCAAATCCTTATGTATGTCTCCAATGCAATTTCATGGTCCATAGAAATTGTATAGACATACCACGCATCATCAAAATAAATCGCCATATTCATCGTATCAAGTACAATCATTGTCTTACCCCTGGAGATTGGACATGTGGAGTGTGTCAGAAAAAGATAAGCTGGACATGTGGAGCTTATTCTTGTTCAAAATGTCCTGATTTTGCAATTCATATGAGATGTGCCACAAGGTTTGGCATTTGGGATGGAACTGAAGTTGAAGACATATTAGAAGATACTATAGATCATCTTAAATCATATGAGGTGATCGAAGAAGGAGTAATAAAATATTTCAGTCACGAGAAGCATAATTTGAAGCTCAGAGAAGAGGGTGATGCTAATGATGAATGCATGTGGTGTGAAGCATGCACATATCCCATATTTTGTAGCCCATTCTACGATTGCATGGAATGTGATGACTTCATCATTCATCAGAAATGTGCTAATCTCCCAAGGAAGAAAATAGATTCCTTCTACAAGATGCCGATGAATCTAGTCCCATCAGTTGATCAGTTAAATTTCTGCCAGGCTTGTCAAAACTATTTTCAAGGTTTCATGTACAGAAGTGATGATGGCATGGTTGTCCTCGATGTGCGATGTGGTTCTATTTCTGAGCCTTTTGTCCATGAAAGCCACCCTAATCATTCGTTATACATCAGTTACTCAACAGGAGACAAATTCTGTAATGCTTGTGGAGATAAGGCAACTATGTTTTTAAGCTGTGATTGTGAAGAGTGTGAATTTGCTTTAGACATTAAATGTTCTGTTTTGCCAAAGATGGTTAAACACAAGAATGATAAAGATCATTTTCTGACTCTGTGTTACGAAGGAAAAACCAAGGAACAGTACTGGTGCGATATATGCGAGGAAGATCTAAACCAAGAAAATTGGTTTTATTCATGTGATCACTGTGACATCACTTTTCACGTCAAATGTACGCTTGGGGACTTATGGCTTAATCCGGATTTTAATTATAAATTATATGGATTTGAGGTGATTCCAAATAATAGTGTAAGTCGACCAGTTTGTGCCGGGTGTGATTCTCGCTGTCGATTCCCCTTCACTTTGAAGTTTACAGGATATTATACAGTGTGTTCTGTACAGTGTTTCAGCCGTGTTTATACTGTGACTTCTAAAGATTCGGCTTCCTAGTGATTTATGAATATGCAGCCAATTATTATATTGTAGTATTGCTAAGAAAACATATTATTATTTGTAATGAGTCAAAATATTTGTAAAATCATAAGTTTATTTGCTTCTTTGTTATATATCACCTGACTGCATCTTTTATTTTGCTCAATTCTATTCGACCATTCCTCCTCTTAACTAAATAATTGCCATTTTCTATATCAAAATTAACACGATGGTTTAGAAGAAAGAACAAAGCATTAATTACAAACAGAAAGTTTAATATGAGGAGAAAATCATTCAATCATCAGGCTCTTCAGGCTTCACAAAGAACTCTATATAAGCAATCCGACTCGGCGGCTGATACCCTGCAGATTCCACTTGTGGAGCTAAAGCTTTAGCAACCGAAACCAAGTGCTGAACTTTCAACATTCCTCCTCTTCCTATCGTCAGTTTGCTTCCCCTGTTCTCTCTCACGACGTTTCCTGGAATATTCGCAGTTGTTGCCTTCAAAAACTTGTACTTGTACCTAGAATCAAACCAAGATCGTTAGCAACTATTTTCCTGATGAGTAAATCAGCCTTATGAGTGTGTCAACCAAATTGTCTTCTTTTTGCCAATGTCGCACTCTGTAGATTTTATATAAAGAAGTAACGTTAGAGAATGAATGAGTTTAATGGTTTACCGGTAAGAGACTTCAGTATCACAATGAAAAGCAAGAAGAAGATCTGTGTTGGCATAATACATCAAGTCTATCTGGCAACAGAAGATTCCATGGAGAATGTGTTGGACTCGATTTCATTTCACAGAAAGACTGATACTTTACCAATTAAGAAACGAAGTGAGATGCAAAAAAAGACCTGTAGGTCTCCGTGTCCTTCTCCTCTAAAGGTAACACAAGGAGGAGACTTTTGAAGGCTGATCTGTACGCTTGATCCAGGCCATTCAAGATCATCTATTGCTTCTTTCAACGCAGATGACTAGTAATACCATTTGAGAAAATCAATCTCAAGACTCAAAAATTGTATCTGGCAAAAAAAGCGATGATAAGACTATTGTTACCTTCACTGTAAAAGTAAGTGGCGCACTTCCTGCCTGCTCAAAGTTATAGTCCCAAGCACTGGTCTCTGGGAGTCTTGTTCTTATCTCAGAGTAGATGCACGAGTTTAGAGTATCAACAGATCTAATTAAAACCATGTCAGGTCCTGGATACTTGATTTCACAAGGCATAACAAAGAAAGAAGCAGAGGAATGATGATTGTTCATACTTGAGAAGAAGCTCCATGTCAGGTCCTGGATACTTGATTTCTATAGTATTTGAGTGCCCAGGTGATGAGAATGTGTTCAAGCAATCCACAAGAAGCCCTAAGCTGATTCCAAATCTCGGCCTACCTTCAGCTCCATACTCGTATTTCGTGAACAGCTTCTCACAGATTTAAAACATTTATCGGATTCTCACGATTTTTGGTGAATCGAAAAAATTAACAAAACCCAGAAAAAATCGATACCTCGCGTTGAAGATAAACTTTGGCTTGAAGACAGCCTGATTCCTCCACGATCAAGACTATTCCGTGTTCCGATAACTCGACTAAAGCATCCTGGAAAACGGAGGATTTCTGAGATTCGCTCAGAAAATCAAACGAAGATATCGATTAAATTAAAAACCCTAAATGGATGGAGACAAGACCTGGTGGCGTTTCCATCGGACGCAAGCGAGGGCATCGACCATGCCTTGAACATTATCGAGCTGGCAAACGAGATCCGGCGCGTCTGGTTCAATCGCCGGCGACGAGCTCATCTCTCTCTCTCTCGCTTCTCCTTCCTACGCTTTCCCGCCAAATAATTATTATCTTATGGGCTTTATTTGGGTCCAAATGAAGAAGCCCACCTGTTCATAATAACACGTGTCACGTCACGGTATCACAGGGAAAATAAAAGGGTAATATTGTAATTTCGAAGTCATTTTCACCATTTTTTTCTTTTTCCCTTTTGCTTTTTCCTTTTTCTTTTCTCTGTCTCTCTCTTTCTATCCGTACGAGATGGATGGTGTTACCGGCGGAGGAGCGAAGAGCGGCGAGGCTGTGTCGGCGCCGCAACGGAATCCGCATCCAGCGACGTTGCTTGGTGGCAACGCTTTACCGCCTCCCTTCCTGAGCAAGACGTATGACATGGTGGAAGATCCGGCGACGGACGCGATTGTCTCGTGGGGTCCGGCGAACAATAGCTTCGTCGTCTGGGATCCGCCGGAGTTTTCCCGTGATCTTCTCCCCAAATACTTCAAGCACAACAATTTCTCCAGCTTTGTTCGCCAGTTGAATACCTATGTAAGTGAATCTTCTCAAAACCCTTTCCTCTAAATCCGGCACAATCGAGCAACGTGTTGCCATTGATTTTCTCTGAATTAGATTCAGTAAACAGAGAAGAATAAAAACTAGAAACTCTATTGATTCACTTGATTCTGGCCAATTTGATGAACAGGGTTTCAGGAAAGTGGATCCAGATAGGTGGGAATTTGCAAATGAAGGTTTCTTAAGGGGCCAAAAACATCTCTTGAAGACTCTTAGCCGGAGAAAATCTGTTCAGGGACATAGCAGTAGTAGTAATCCACAGTCCCATCAGTTATCTCAGGGTCAAGGTCCAATGGCTGTATTATCTTCTTGTGTTGAGGTTGGGAAATTCGGGCTCGAGGAAGAGGTTGAACAGCTTAAGAGAGACAAGAACGTGCTGATGCAGGAGCTCGTCAAGTTACGCCAGCAGCAACAATCAACAGACAACAAGCTTCAGGTTATGGTCAAAAGTCTTCAGGCTATGGAGCAGAGGCAACAGCAGATCGTGTCTTTCCTTGCTAAAGCTGTCCAGAATCCCACTTTCCTCTCTCAGTTTATACAGAAGCAGACCGATAATAATATGCATGTGACCGAGGCTAATAAGAAGCGGAGACTCAGAGAAGATACCACTACTGCTGCTGATGATGAGAATCATAGCCATAGCCATAGCTCGGCTGCATCAGATGGTCAGATAGTTAAGTATCAGCCTCTTAGAAGCGATTCGACAAAGTCAATGATCTGGAACATGATGAAAACAGATGATAAGCTTCCTTTTCTTGATGGGTTCTCATCACCAAACCGGGTATCTGGAGTCACTCTCCAAGAAGTAGTGCCCACAACTTCAGGACAGTCACAGGCATATGCACCCGTAGCATCGGGACAACCTTTATCCTCCTTACCCTCTGCTTCAACTTCCTTACCAGATACCGTTATGCCTGCGATTTCACAGATGCCACAATTGACACAGGAGAGCATCAATGACTTCCCTACAGAAAACTACATGGATACAGAGAAGGATGTTTCAGAGGCATTCATCTCTCCGAGCCCGTTCCTTGACGGTGGTTCAGTACAGAATCAGGTAGACGGAATATCTCACGACCCCGACATTGATGAACTGATGAGTAACTGTGATCTGTTGGAAGAATATCTGGCACAAAGCCCAGTTCTTGGAGATGAAACAATACTAGAGAGTGGTCACGCAAATGGTGGGAATATGGATAAGCTTATAGAGGAGTTGGGTCTTCTCACATCACAGACAGAGCAATTGTAAAGGATTATGTTTAGTGTCAACATTGTATAGTCTTTCTCTACTAACTTTATGGTTAAGACTAGAGGGTTTTTTTATGTCTCTTTTGTATAAAAAGTTGAACTTTGTGCAGAAATCTTTCTTTAGATAGATAATTGAAGAGTTATATAAGTATATAATATTTACAATATAGCCAATATAGTTGTTTTTTGTTTTTTCAATTTATATGGAAAGTGACAGTTTGTCGAGTCATATATTAACCATTTTTCGATAAGGAAAACAGAGTTGGAATTTCCCGGGGAAGCTCTTTTCAATGGAGGTCCTTGCGAGTTCTTCATTATCCCCAAATTTTACTAAACTTCATAAAATTAACCCTAATTTCTCAGTCCAGGTACTTTTTCTTCCGCAAAGCTGACTCTTTTGTTTAGCATCTCCCCTGAAATTCCCCTGGAAATCCCAATTTTTAATTCAATTTTGTGTGCGTTTAGCTGTAATAGAATTTTCAGTCTCTTCAGGTGAAATTGTGGGTATCTCGACCTCCAAAGATTTTGGAAGCTAGCAACTTTAGATATGCTCGAAATCGTAGTAACAAGCCAAAGAGCAATGCAAACCCAGGACTCGTGTTCGTCTGTAATAGATATTTGTGTCTTCTCGAGAGAAATGATCGTAGGAGGTTTTCTGGGAAGGTTATGATGATATCTTCAGTCAATTTCAGAAAGAATGTCTCCGTCGCATTAGTTCGGCTAGTGTCTGTTCTGCTTGTCTCCTCCATTTCCGTTGTTACCACTGATTCACCATCATGTAAGTTCGACATTGTTACACCATCTCAAAATTTGGGGATTTGCAATTTGATTTCATTTGTTTCTCTAGGGGGTCTTAGCGAGGAGAATCTTCTCTTCTTAGAAGCTTGGAGAACAATTGATCGTGCATACATCGATAAAACCTTTAATGGACAGAGCTGGTTTCGTTACAGAGAGAATGCTTTAAGAAACGAGCCTATGAACACTAGAGAAGAGACATGTATGTGTGAATTTGAAACAAAGCTTTAACCTTTTTACAAATTTACTACAATCCTGCTTCTGAAGTTGGTGTTTGTTTGCGTTTAGACATGGCTATTAAGAAAATGATTGCAACACTAGATGATCCTTTTACCCGGTTCCTGGAGCCAGGAAAGTTCCAGAGTCTGCGGGTAAGAGTTCCTGGAAAAAAACAGGTGTTCTTAATCTTAGCAAAAAGATTGTATGTAAAGAGTTTAGTAAATGTTTTGGTTGAAGGTAGTCTGGAACTCAAGGTGCGGTTACTGGTGTTGGGCTGTCGATAGGTTACCCGGCTGCATCAGATGGATCACAGGCTGGGCTTGTTGTTATATCAGCTGCTCCAGGAGGTCCTGCAAATAGGGCAGGAGTTTCACCTGGCGATGTTATCTTAGGCATTGATAATACAACCACAGAAACTCTTACCATCTACGATGCTGCACAGATGTTGCAGTGAGCCACATTCCCATTGATTCTGAATTAAGAAATGGGGAAGCTTTTTTTTCACATTGGGATAATGCTTTGGTTAAAAATGCAGGGGACCTGAAGGAAGCACGGTTGAGCTAGCGATTCGCAGTGGACCTGAAACGAGATTCTTGTCTTTGACGTATTTGTTCCCATCCCTACTCTTTGCTTAATTTGATTATCGTTTTCATGCTCGTTAAGTTACCTTGATTATTGTTACTTCAGAAGAGAGCGGGTTTCTGTGAATCCGGTGAAGTCAAGATTATGTGAACTTCCTGGTTCTGGGAGTAATTCACCTAAGATTGGGTATATCAAGCTAACAACATTTAATCAAAATGCCTCTGGTATACATCTTTTGAAGTTAGTGATTCTTTCTTACAAATTTGAATGCTTTCTGGTTTACTATCTCTGAAAGTCGAGCACTTTCATTGTAGCTGCGGTCAAAGAAGCAATTGAGACCTTGAGAGGCAACAATGTCAATGCATTCGTCTTGGATCTTCGAGACAATAGGTGATGATAATTGCAAAAAAACATTCCATTTTGTTTTTAAAACAGCCATTTCTTGAACAGTTGGAACTTTTGTTTTTGTGCTGCAGTGGAGGTTCGTTCCCAGAAGGAATCGAGATTGCTAAGATTTGGTAAAACCTCATAAATCACTTCATCTAATGAATCAGAAACTTTCAAGACTCACAACTCTCAAATAGAAACTTCAACTTTGGCTATCCGCAGGTTAGATAAAGGAGTGATTGTGTACATTTGCGATAGTCGAGGTGTTAGAGATATATATGATACTGATGGAAGCAATGCTATAGCAACCTCTGAGCCTCTTGCCGTTCTTGTATAAGCTCCCTTCTTTCCTTTCCTCGGATCATTCTATCTCCTTGATGTAAATTCCATGGAATATTTAGCTCTCATACAATCTCTCTTTTCCAGGTTAACAAAGGCACCGCGAGTGCCAGCGAGATATTAGCAGGTGCCTTGAAAGATAACAAGCGTGCTCTGGTTTATGGAGAACCGACTTACGGAAAAGGGTAAACAAAAAGGCGTAATCTTGATTTTTTATTCTTCTCAGAGACTGAACCTTTGTAACATTCTTGAGCCTCTCTTTTGCAGTAAGATACAGTCAGTGTTTCAGCTCTCTGATGGTTCGGGCTTGGCGGTAACAGTTGCTCGATACGAAACACCAGCTCACACTGATATAGACAAGGTCTGAAACTACTTTCTTGTACATATTCAAATGTCCTGTTGGGACTCCCTCTGTGTCTACACTACCACATACTGTACATGTTCTGCTTACATTCAGTTGTTTATCTACTCTGTTTATGGTTTTTTTCGAATAGGTTGGTGTTACTCCTGATCATCCGTTGCCAAAGTCGTTTCCGAAAGATGAAGAGGCATTCTGTGCATGCCTTAAGGATCCTGCAGCTGCTTGTTATCTCAACCAAGGCCTGCTTTTTTCTAGATGATTTTGATTTGTTCATACATTGTTCTGAGATTATGAGTAAAATTCATTGACACAACCTTTGTATTCTTTTGAAGATTCACACATAGCTTCATGATCAGCTAATGGAAGCCAGGAATTTCACTTTTAAGAAAACACAAAAAATAGATGATTTTCCCTTTCACATCGACTCTGGTCTGCAACAAAATATATTACAGAGACAAAGCAATAACACACTCTTACAAAACAAACACTCAGACGCCCTCAAACCAAACCAAAACCAAAGCAAACCAAATCGAACTGCTCTATATACTTGATAAGAAAAGACGAAAGAAAGTATTCCAGTCCAACAGACTGAATGGGAGGAACAAAAAGAGCCTTGAAGTGACAAACATACACTCATTGATGTTTCTTGATTGATGTTGAAGCACTTTTCCATGGTTTCCTGAGTTCTGGAAAATCAAACCCCGAGCACTATAATAACAATCAGGAGCACGATACCAAAAATCACCAAGAGCAAGCACGTCTGCAAGAATAAACAACGACAAGAAAAAGTTTAGACGTTGATCTGATCATCATCCTAAATCCTCAAAACACATTCATGGTATGATTAAAAGCTTCAATATTTTTACCAGAGAAGAATTCGATTTTTGTGTCTTTGAGGCTTTTGCGAGATGGGATTTTCCTTGTGCAGTTGCCGCGTGGGAGTTATCGATGTGAGTTCCAATATCATCTGCATGAAAAAAGAGTTGTTAAATTGAGGATACGAGGATATAAGTAAGTTTTATAATGACAGGATTTAGAATCAGTTTTACCAATCATGGTTCCTTGATCATGTACCAACACTGCCAAGTCTTTGAAGATTTCGTGCACCTCGCCAATTTGCTGTTGGATTTCTTGTATCCCTTGCTCTCTTTCCTCAATAATAGCCTCATTGAACGCAATCTCATTATCCAACAGTACAAGTTCTTGTCTGCAACACCAACAACAACAAACTAATTCAAAGATGAGTCATCTAAGTTTTTTAAAAAAAATCTGGACTTTTGTCTGTAAAAACTTACCTTTTTGATTCCACAAGAACCGCATGCTGCTCTGGATGCTTATCTGGATTCACATCTATCTCACTAGGTGTATAGCTACATAACCAAAGCCAAGCAATCAATATACAAAACCACAAAAATAAACCTAAACCATTTTTGATTCGCAATTACCTAGATGGAAGAGATGGCTTGGTCACAAGAGGAGCATATACAGTTTCTCTTTCAGCAGCGAGACGCTGAGCCTTTTGAAACTCTTTCAATACAGCTTGAAAGTCTTTTGCAAGCTTAGCATCCACAATCTTCTTCTTTGGCTAAGAAAACAAACCCACCAAATTCAGAAATCAACAGAAGAAAAAAACAAGAAGACTTCCTTTTAATTTTGGTTTTCAAATCACAAAAATCCACTCACATTTACACCTCTTTGATGATCAGTTTCACTAGCTTCTTTAAGTTTAGCTGATGTGTCTTTCACTAGCTGTCCGATATGTAGTCTTGTCTTGTGCCTGAAGCACACAGTTTTTCACCATTGTAGTGACACAATCAAGCAAATTGAAGCATCTACAAATACTGAATTTCCAACAAAATTAGAAAAACAAAATTTCAACTTTTAAGAGCTTACAGCTTCTCTCGGAGCTCCGGCGTGTCTTTGGGAGTACCGAGAGTGTTGACGAGACGTTGGAAGGTGGAAACACTTGTGTTAATCTGAAATATACCGGAAGCTACTGCTTGCGTCGTGTCTTGTCGACCTCCATTGATGTTCCTCGAAGAAGCTAACGATCTTCCTCTTCCCGCCTCTAAATCTTGAAAACTCATTTTACCTGTCCCTTCTCTCTATATATATATCTCGAAATCCACAAAACTTGTCTCGAAAAACCCACCTCTAAAGTAAATTCTCCAACTTTTTTCCTCAGAAAGATCAAAATTCGATCTTGAAGATAACGGAGAACGTGAATCGTGACTGTGAATTATCCGGGGGATTCTCTCTCTCCGACAGATTGAGAAAACGTGAATCGCGGAGAGAGAGAGAATGATTGAAAAACGTGAAAATGTCACATTACCTGTATGTATGGATGGAAAAAAGCTTGTACCTTTTCTTAATCTTTTCTTAATCTCATATTCAATCCTTACTTTTTCAAGAATATTCTAAAAGTCACTCGATTATTTTAGAATTTACAGGTATATCCTCTTCGTGTTATGAAAGAGGCTTTAAAATGTTAGGGGCAAAAGTGTGTGTATAATACGAATCTTATCATAAGATCTTCAAGTTAATTTTTTTTTAGCTTATCACATCCTATTCGACTACGATGTGAGCCCTACTCTGAGCTCAAGACACGTGGGCGATAAGGATTGGTGGAGAAAGTGATTGTGTCATGTCGTTTGTTGATTAGTGATTGTGTCATGTCGTTTGTTGATTAGTGATTGTGTCATGTCGTTTGTTGATGCTAATCAAATCATAGAGATTTACGATTTTAAAAATTATTACAGATTTAGGATTATGATAAAAATACATGTACTCCAGAACTTAATAAATTAAAATCTCTAGATAGACCTTTACGTGCATAAAAAGGGTCAAAGCGTAAATTGTTGTCAAAAAAATAGGGTCAAATAAATGAATAGAAATTTATACGTACTGTATAATAGGGGTAAACTGTTGAAGTTTTTTTTTTCCAAAAGGTTTTAAAATTAAAGGAAAAAGGGAATATATATCTAGATTGAGATTCGGGAGACTTGGATTACGGACGTTTTTACCCCTCGCACGTGAGAAGTTGTCAACGTAGAAAATGGTTCCCGACCATAGCACGTGCCAAATCCGAATACCTCTCGTCCGTTTTCCGAGGTGTTTAAAATGGGGTCCACTTTTTTTCTCGTCAAAGCAAATCCGCGTCCAAAGATTTTTCTTCTCATTTGATTGTTTTCTTCTCGTTTCAAATTTGTTCGTCAGGTGAACATAAGAGTAAAAAACTTTTAAAAAAACTTCCGTTTCAATCCTCGTCAAGCGATTTTCTCCATGTCGGTGAGTTTTTGTCTAATCCTCCCTTCATACTTTTTCTGGAAACGAGTTGGTTTTGATTTTGTTTTATCCCGAGAAAAAATCGATTGTTTTGGCTGTTGATTTGATGGAGGAAGCTGTTAGCAGATCTGTTTAATTGGGATTGTTATGCTGTAAGATTTGTGCGAAATGGTGTTGATTTTGTGTGAAAAATCGCTTATTTTTTTGGATTTAGATTTTTGAGGATTTAAAAGCTTCTCAATTGTTTTGATCTGGGTGAAAATTTACTGTTCCTGAGATGAATAATTTATTTGTAGTGGAAAATGTTATGTTTCGATTTTGATACCCCTGTTTAAGATCATTTGAATCTCTTTTTGATATGCGATTCATGCCAAAGGATTAGTCTGAGACAAAGTTTAGCTTTTTCCAAGATTTAGTAGTTCTCGGTTACGTGATTTCAGCAGCATTTGCAGGATTTTGTTCATTGTGCTGAAATTTTGAAACTTGTATTGATGATACAATGCCATTGTGTTTCTGATGTTACCAATCATTGTACTGATAATAGAATCTTTATGAAGTCAGTTTGGTTGCTTTAGGACTGTGTATAGTCATAGTTTGGCGATAAAGAATCAAGATATGTGGATAAAAAAACTTAAGAATAAGTCTGAGATGTGATTTTGGTGTTAAAAAGGTCTAAATAACCATAGTATCAAGTCTCACGAGATTGGATCTCACTTGCAGATGACAACTGTCAAAGTGAGCAATGTTTCTCTCGGAGCAACCGAGCGAGACCTCAAGGAGTTCTTTTCCTTCTCTGGTGATATCATGTACCTTGAGACGCAGAGGTTTGCTTTCCTATCTAGTGTTACTTTTGAAGCTCTGAGTTCTTCAGGTTCATAACTCTCTTATTGTACAGCGAGACAGAACGGACTAAATTGGCGTATGTCACTTTCAAGGATCTACAAGGAGCTGAGACTGCTGTTCTTCTCTCGGTATTTTCACTTCTCAGCCTGTGTCAGTTCCTCTGTTTTATAAACTTCCATCGAGTGACGAGTATTAATGCAATTCTTTCAGGGAGCAACGATTGTTGATTCTTCAGTCATTGTCACTATGGCCCCGGATTACCAACTATCTCCTGAGGCTTTAGCTTCCTTGGTAAGCTCTTAATCTCATCATCTCTCTTGATATCTTCACTAGCAAATGCTTACCATTTCATCATTTCTCCTCAGGAACCCAAGGACAGCAGCAAATCTCCCCGGGCAGGTGATTCTGTGTTGAGAAAAGCCGAAGACGTTGTAAGCAGCATGCTTGCAAAGGGGTTCATACTGGGAAAAGATGCCATAGCCAAAGCCAAGAACGTTGATGAGAAACACCAGCTAACATCAACTGCATCAGCCAAAGTCGCATCTCTCGACAAGAAAATCGGTTTCACGGATAAGATCAACACGGGAACAGTCGTTGTGGGAGACAAAGTCAGGGAAGTTGATCAGAAGTACCAAGTCTCGGAGAAAACCAAATCAGCAATCGCTGCAGCGGAGCAGACAGTGAGCAATGCAGGTTCAGCTATAATGAAGAACCGGTATGTTCTCACGGGTGCTACGTGGGTCACTGGAGCATTCAACAAAGTGGCCAAAGCTGCGGAAGAAGTTGGACAAAAGGCGAAAGAGAAAGTTGGCATGGCTGAGGAAGAGGAGAAGAGGAAAGTGGTTGATGAGTTTGCTAGAGTTCACTTGTCTGAATCACCAAAGGCGGCATCATCAAAGCAAGAAGATGAACATGAACCGAAACTCTCTGAATCTCATGAAGCAAAGAAAGAACCTGAACATCATGAGCCGCAGCCGCAGCCGCAACAGCAACCGCAAACGCAAACGCAGCAGCAACAGTCTCCTCCACCTGTGGCGCCGGCTCAACTTTAAGATATGCAGGCTAGTAAAAGACCTCTCTGATTCTTGTTGTAAAAGGGTAATACTTGGAACTATTCTCTCTTGGATTGTTGAAAATGACGATCGAACTTGTTATTTAGGACAAAAACTTGTGTTATTGTAACATTGGATTCAATGGTCGGTTTGGTAATTAGGCCTGGAAAAACAGTTTTGTCCTCCTTGTTTTTCTTAAAAAGTTTCTTCAATCTGCAAAACTGGTGAAGAAACAAGGTTGAGTATTTTAACCGGACTATATTAATTTGAACTGAACCAAAGTAGTATACCGATCGGTTTTCTGAAATTCCATGCAATATCCTTTTGCTAATCTTGTGTCATTACTATTGGGATATGTATTTTAAACAATTTAATTCATAAAGGAAAACTTCCAAAAATCTCTTAGATTCTTTGTCATAATGAAATATTTTGATAGATTGTTTTTTATTACACAAAACTCTGCAAATTTAACAAATCTCTAGGCTTTTAAAACCAATCACCTATTACGCTGTTGTCCGTACATTTTTAGTAAATACTTTTGTAAAAAGGGAATTTCAAAAATGGATATTATACCAAAATGTGCACTGATACTCTTTTAAATATATAGGATTTACTACGTGGAAGTTTCAAATTAATAAGATAAAGTAGAATATATGAAATATCGACCTTTAACGAAAGAATAGAAAGATATCTTGATTAATAAAAAACATTAACCAAAGAATAATATTTTTTTAAGCGAAGAAATTAACATAATTTAGTCACGGTAAAATAAAAACAAAAACATTCATTTTCATAATTATAAATACAGTCTCCCTCACTCTAAACACATTCATTTTAACTCTTAAGATTGTTGTATAATTGAGAGTACAAAAAGAAAAATTAAAGAGTATTATCACCAAAACCAATGAAGAGATCAGCTATAATATTCATTGGTATTCTGCTTTTTTCAACATGTGAGTTTCTCCTTTCTTTTTACTTTCAATTGTATTTGTGGTGATTAGTTTGAAACCATAACAGAAGTTCTATGAGTCAAGTCTTCTATGACGAAGTGATTTCTGATCAAAGTCTCTCTCGCAAGCAGAAGGTTCCGACTTTTCTATCAAGAAGAAGAATTAAGTCAAATCCTCTACATGAAAGGGAAGGTCTTCCACACTTCGACATATCTTAGAACAAGAAGAATGGTGATGAGTCGGTGTGTATCCCAAGACAAAGTCGCCTCATCCCGAGATTAAACTCCAACGGACAGCGACGTTTTTCTACCTAATGTACTACCTACACTATCACAGGAGACAAGGGCGTGCTTGGAGTCTGAAGAAGCAGAGTCTGGAAAACTTCTTCTGATCCTCTGTTCGCTAAAAGACAAGTTAACTAGAGTTGAACACTCGAGTTTAAGACCGTTGTAGTCTGATTAGTCTTTGGGTATAAAAGCGATGTCAATGAGGCTTAGTAAAGACTAAGGCGAGTGTGTAGCTAGTATTGGTGTAGAGAGATTGTAAAGTGACAAAGAAGCACGGTCTGTGCTTAAGGACTTAGTGGATTTTCCGGAAAGCTTTTCCGGCGAGACGTAGCGACCAAGTTTGGGTCGTGAACTCGTTAAATTCTCTGTGTCATTTTATCTCTGCACCTTAAGTTCATACACACGAGTGATTACTACAAACAGAGAGAAGAGAGAGTTCTTTATAAACACTTCAAAGATCATAACTTTGGTGAAAAGTTAGAACTAAACTTCACAAATTGGTATCAGAGCTCCAGGTTTGGGGGTTCTCCACTCAAGATCTGAGGAAAGATGTCTTCAGCAAGAGTTGAGATGGAGAAGTTCGATGGAAAAGGTGACTACATGCTTTGGAAAGAAAAGCTTCTAGCTCACATCGAGATTCTGGGTTTAACTGAAGGTCTGATGGAAGATGAAATCCAAGAATCTGAAGACTCATCGGAGAAAACATCAGAGGTCACAGTCAAGACGAAAGAGGAAGATTCGTCTGAGAAGTCTGTAGCAGAGAAGAAGAAGAAGGTCAGATCCACTGTTATCCTGAGTGTTGGGGATAACGTTCTCAGGAAGATCATCAAGGAAAAAACAGCTGCAGCCATGTTAAAGGTACTCGATCAACTTTACATGGCCAAGTCTCTTCCAAATCGCATCTATCTCAAACAGAGGCTTTATGGCTACAATATGAGCGATAGTATGTCGATTGAAGAAAATATAAATGACTTCCTGCGACTCATTACGGATCTAGAGCACGTTAAAGTTTCAGTGTCAGATGAAGATCAAGCCATTATCCTTCTCATGGCACTTCCAAAGGCCTTTGATCATCTCAAAGACACTCTGAAGTATGGGAAAACCTCATTATCTCTCGACGAGATAATAGGAGCTGTAAGGTCTAAGGAACTGGAACTAGGAGCAAATGGAAAGCTGTCCAGAAATAGCTCGGAAGGTCTCTTTGTTCAAGACAGAGGCAGAACAGAAAAAAGGGAAAAAAGCAGTGATAAGGGAAAACAGAAAGCTAGATCCAAGTCAAAAGGAAAAAAGACCTGTTGGATCTGCGGTAAAGACGGACACTACAAAAAACAATGCTTTGTTTGGAAAGAAAGAAACAAGCAGAGGGAAGGAGGTGAATCATCAAATGTCACCGGTCAAGTTCAAGATGCTGCAGCTCTAATGGTGTCCGAAGCTTTCCTATCATTAGGAGAAGAACTGAAAGATAAGTGGATCATGGACACAGGGTGTTCATTTCACATGACTCCGAGAAAAGATTGGTTCATAGAACTGAAAGAATCAACCTCAGGCAAAGTAAGGATGGCGAATGACACCTACTCTGCAGTCAAAGGAGTCGGAAGCATAAGGATCAAGAACGACGACAACTCAACTGTTCTGCTGACAAATGTGAGATATGTACCAGAGATGACCAAAAATCTCATCTCTTTAGGTACACTTGAAGATCAAGGGTGCTGGTTTCAGTCAAAGAGTGGAGTTATGAAGATAAACAAAGGTTGCAGAACTCTCATCAAAGGAAAGAAAACTGATACACTTTACATTCTGAGTGGATCGGTTGTTCTAGGAGATGCGGGTGTTTCTGTGGGACTCAGAGACGAAACAAGACTGTGGCACAGAAGATTAGGTCACATGAGTCAGAAGAGTATGAAGGTTCTGATCAAGAAGGGGTATTTAGACAAAAACAAAGTCACAGATATGAGTTTTTGTGAAGACTGTGTGTATGGCAAAGCTCACCGAGTCAGTTTTGGAGCAGGAAAGCATGTCACAAAGGAGAGGCTAGATTATATTCACTCCGACTTATGGGGATCACCCAATGTTCCATTCTCACTCGGGAGATGCCAATATTTCATCTCCTTCATAGATGATTACTCAAGGAAGACGTGGATATACTTTCTGAAAAAGAAAGATGAGGCGTATGGAAGTTTTGTTGATTGGAAAAAGATGGTTGAAAATCAGATTGGGAAGAAAGTCAAGACTTTGAGAACTGATAATGGCCTAGAATTCTGCAACAGAGAGTTCGATGTGTTTTGCAAGAATGAAGGTATCGTAAGACACAAAACCTGTGCTTACACACCTCAGCAAAATGGAACTGCAGAAAGAATGAACAGAACCATTCTTGAGAAGGTCAGAAGTGTTCTCAGTGAGCCAGGATTGCCAAAGAGTTTCTGGGCCGAGGCAGCATCAACTGCAGTATTCCAGATCAACAGATCACCCTCTGCAGCTCTGGAGTTCAAAATCCCAGAAGAAATCTGGACAGGGGTCAAGCCGAAGTATGAAGATCTAAGAGTATTTGGGGTCGTTGGTTACATTCACAGTGATCAAGGGAAGCTTAATCCAAGAGCAAAAAGGGGAATCTTCATCGGATATCCACCAGGAGTCAAAGGATACAAGTTCTGGCTTGTGGAAGAAAAGAAATGCATCATTTCAAGGGATGCAATCTTTCAAGAAGAAAAGATGTATAAACATCTCAACCATCAGTCAGAACAGAAATGAGAGGTACAAGTTACTGAACCACCTATCGTTTATGAAGTTAACAGTAGTGATTTCAGGGATTTAGGAGGAGCTCAGATCAACTCGGAAGATGAACAAACTGAAAGTCACCATACCGAGGCTGACAACTATCATCAAGATGAAGACTCCGAAGATGAAGTCTCTCAAACCAACAATGATCTTGAGAACTATCAGTTGGCAAGAGATAGAGAAAGGAGAGTCACCAGAAGGCCTGCAAAGTTCGATGACTCAAATCTTGTTGAGATCAGTGAAGACAACATGTCAGGACTTGCCTTGATGGTGACAGAGGACGGAGACTATCCTGAACCGAGTTGCTATGAAGAAGCAGTAAGAGACAAAGACTGGAAATTATGGAAAGAAGCCATGGATGAAGAGATGCTCTCACAGCACAAGAATCAAACATTCTCACTGGTGAAAAGGCCTGCAAACTGCAAAGTGATTGGCTGCAAGTGGATATACAAGAGAAAACCGGGTATACAAGGATCGGACCAGCCAAGATATAAAGCGAGATTAGTCGCAAAAGGATATTTGCAGAAAGAAGGAGTAGATTATCAAGAAATTTTCTCTCCTGTTGTGAAGCACGTCTCAATTCGTCTCATACTGTCATACGTAGTGAACTTCGATCTTGAGTTGGAGCAACTAGACGTTAAAACGGCGTTTCTCCATGGAAACTTAGATGAACATATACTTATGGAGCAGCCAGAGGGATACAAAGTTAAGACAGGTCATGAAGATGAAGTCTGTCTTCTAAAAAAGTCCCTGTACGGGCTTAAGCAAGCACCTAGACAGTGGAACCAACGGTTCAATAGCTTTATGAAGAACTCGGGGTACAAAAGGAGCAATTACGACAGCTGTATCTACTACAGAGAACTTGAAGATCACACTTACATCTACCTGCTTCTCTATGTAGATGACATGCTTATTGCAGCAAAAGACAAAAGAAAGGTTCAAGACTTGAAGAATCTTCTTAGCTCAGAGTTTGAAATGAAGGACCTGGGTGAAGCTAGTAAAATCCTGGGTATGGAAATCAGGAGAAACAGACAACAAGGGACGCTGGAAGTATCTCAGAAAGACTACTTGAAGAAGGTCCTGCAGATGTACAGAATGGATCAATCCAAAGGAGTTCAAACACCATTAGGAACTCACTTCAAACTCAGATCTGCAACCGATGAGGAATGGGAGTCTCAGGCAGAATACATGAAGGCAATACCATATTCAAATGCGGTAGGAAGCATCATGTATTCGATGATTGGAACTAGACCCGACTTAGCTTACCCTTTATGTGTTGTGAGTCGGTTTATGAGCAAGCCAACTAAGGAGCATTGGTTAGCAGTCAAATGGGTGTTAAGGTACATCAAAGGAACAGAGGGACTAAGGCTGAGCTACAAAAAGCGAAACTGTGTTGAGGTTAAAGGGTTCTGTGACTCAGACTACGCAGCTGACTTAGACAGAAGGAGATCAGTTACAGGTTTCGTATTTACTGCAGGAGGTAATGTTATCAGTTGGAAATCAGGACTTCAAAAGGTTGTTGCACTTTCTACAACAGAAGCTGAATATATGGCATTAACAGAAGCAGTTAAGGAAGCAGTCTGGTTAAAAGGTCTTTCGTCAGAGCTGGGTTTTGAACAAGAAAAAGTTGAGGTCATGTGTGATTCTCAGAGTGCAATTGCCCTAGCAAAAACTCTGTACATCACGAAAGGACGAAGCACATTGATGTGCGTCTTCATTTTATCAGAGACATGATCGCAGAAGGAGACATTCATGTCTCAAAGGTATCGACTCTGTGGAATCCTGCAGATATCTTTACAAAGATAGTCCCAGTGAGCAAACTTCAAAAGGCATTGGAGTTGCTCAATATTTCAAGTCACTAATGAGTAGTGAAAGAATCCGGAAAAGGGAAAATCCAAAGATACTAAGTCAAGGTCTCGAGCAAGTGGTTTTCAAACCAAGGAGGAGTTTTGTGGTGATTAGTTTGAAACCATAAGAGAAGTTCTATGAGTCAAGTCTTCTATGGCGAAGTGACTTCTGATCAAAGTCTCTCTCGCAAGCAGAAGGTTCCGACTTTTCTATCAAGAAGAGGAATTAAGTCAAATCCTCTACATGAAAGGGAAGGTCTTCCACACTTCGACATATCTTAGAACAAGAAGAATGGTGATGAGTCGGTGTGTATCCCAAGACAAAGTCGCCTCATCCCGAGATTAAACTCCAACGGACAGCGACGTTTTTCTACCTAATGTACTACTTACACTATCACAGGAGACAAAGGCGTGCTTGGAGTCTGAAGAAGCAGAGTCTGGAAAACTTCTTCTGATCCTCTGTTCGCTAAAAGACAAGTTAACTAGAGTTGAACACTCGAGTTTAAGACCGTTGTAGTCTGATTAGTCTTTGGGTATAAAAGCGATGTCAATGAGGCTTAGTAAAGACTAAGGCGAGTGTGTAGCTAGTATTGGTGTAGAGAGATTGTAAAGTGACAAAGAAGCACGGTCTGTGCTTAAGGACTTAGTGGATTTTCCGGAAAGCTTTTCTGGCGAGACGTAGTGACCAAGTTTGGATCGTGAACTCGTTAAATTCTCTGTGTCATTTTATCTCTGCACTTTAAGTTCATACACACGAGTGATTACTACAAACAGAGAGAAGAGAGAGTTCTTTATAAACACTTCAAAGATCATAACTTTGGTGAAAAGTTAGAACTAAACTTCACAGTGTTCATCCTCCTCATTACACTACCATGAGTTCGTTGTATACATAATATCAATAATATAATTTTTCTTTTACATGCAGGCACACCAATTCTGGCACGAACTGGATATCAACCATGCACAAAAGACCCTGATTGTGTTAGACTCAAATGTCCATCACCACTAGGACACCCCAAGTGTGTGAATGGTGGTTGTGAATGCCCCTTTGAAGAACATGTGGCGTTACCAAATGATACTAATTGTGATGTGCATGCTTGCGTTGACTATTGCGCAGGTAAAGGCGAGGAAGCTTATGCTTGTCTTTTGAACCAATGTTACTGTCGCAAACCTCCCATGTAGTTTTCTTACAAAGAACTAGATGTTTACTTGTGCATGACTCGTTTAAATAATTGAATATCGATATCAAATAAGATATTACAGCGTACAGCAACGCTATATCAAAATATTTTAAGGCAACGTACGAATGCTATTATAGAAGGACCGATCATAGCACTAAATATGTAATATCATATTCATTTTACAAAAAGATTGATGTGCTATAACAAAATAAGTAGTGCATACAAATATTGTTATGGTATCCTAACCTATCTTAGCATACCAAATAAAAGCTATTGTATGAGTGACTCCTACCAAAATGTTGTATATTTATGAAAACGCTATGTAATATGTATGATAGCAGATTTTCTGCGTTAATAATGTATATATTTTTGTAGTATGAGTTTGTGATAAAATTCAGTAAATACTCCTAGCGTTTATATGAGCTGAGAAGCATAACAGAAGCGATTAAAACGAGAAGCAATTATTTTCTAGACACATCACACATGCATGTGAGAATAAATAAAACTTATTAACGTGAGTTCGCTTTTAAGTACTATCCAATCTTAAGAGTTTTTAGTATTTTGGAACTGTGCTCAGGTGCGCTCACAAATAAAAATGTACACATCTAGGATCTAGAAACATCAAAATGTTGTCTCTCATTCAATTCTGTAACTATCTTCTGTCAGCTCTCTACGTAGTGGATAGACATATATCATATATGGGCAATACTACAGATTAACCACATCTAAATGGCAGAATCCGAGGAAACCAACGGCTCTAAGCATCTAGTTTTCAGTATGCTTTCACGAAAATTTTGCATAATTTTTGGTTCTTTACCACAAACCCATCGATTCACTTTATCAAGCATGAGCAAACTTCAAAACTTTTAAGACTGTTCTCTTGAATTATCCAGTCATTTTGAGATTTCCATGAGCAAGGATGTGTTCATATTTTGTTTCATTTTGTCTCATTCAAGTGAGACTAAAATATGATATCATGATTTTTTTTCTCCTCAAATTCATATTCTCCTCTGTGTCTAATATTACTTTTTCGCTTTATCAACCTATATCTTTAATTATCTGATCACGTGTTGATGACTTTCCAATTTACCTTGGATCCTCGTTAAACTGAGAGATCTCAAACTAGATATAATCAGAAGACTCTTTGACCCTTTCTAAATATAAAGATTAGGTAACCAATTTTGTTATAGAAAGAAATCAGTGTTTTACTAAAAATAAATGCAAATATTGACTAGTAAAACAGTTACTAGAACATGTTACTTATGGTTTTAAAAAAACAAACGGTTTGCCTCACAATTAATTATATATAACCTTCAAATCTTTCACTTCGTCACACAAACAACTCAAAATCACAAAAGAAAATACAATCTTATAATTCAGTAAAAAAACAAAAATGAAGAAAGCAGCTTTGATATTCATGGGTCTTGTACTTTTTTCAACATGTAAGTTTTTTAATTCTCACTTCTTATAAGTTATTCATCATTATTGTAATTATGTGATCTTTCATCGTCATTAACTATTATCATGATGATGACTCTAGTAATCACATATAATATCATATATTCTCACTCTAACAGGCACTCAAATTATGGCACAAACTTGCGAACAAGATTCTGATTGTAGTCATATGTCATGTGTAACGAAGATCAAATGTCAGGACAACGAGTGTATATGCGTTAATGACAAACACGTGGTTTTACCACTTGACACGAATTGTGGTGTTCATGCTTGCATTGACTTTTGCAAGGCAAAAGGCGAACAAGCTTATGCTTGTCTCTTAAACCATTGTTACTGCCGCAAACCTCCAATGTAATAAATAATGACAAGCTTAAATAGTTATGCTTGTATCATCTTCAAATTATGTTACCTCCACAATTACCACAAACCTCCCTATGTAATATCTTCACACACCTAGCTCCTATGTAATACGTTTACTATTTGGCCTTTACTATTTTAAGGTTCAATAAAAAATATAATACGTTTACTATTTTACTACATTAATTCTATCATGAGCAACACAATAATAAGATATCTACAATAAAATAATACATTTGTCAATATTGTTGGAGGTGGGCTTAGCACCCCCAATTAGCTATGCCCATCTTAAATAATAAAGCTTATGGTGAAAGTCAACAGAAGCCAAGCCAAAGTCATCAGTCTAGTCAGCGTGGTCTCGCCCAAATCGTCATCATCATTACGCCGATCTACAGTGTCCGGAGCCGAGCAGAGTACGACACGTGTTGAAGCAGGTCGTCTACAGTGGCTTATCTGCGCAAGTAGTTCGGCGAAGGACCATCATCACTCGTTGCAGAGTGGTTCGAACGCACGGCTCGAAATGTAATACCCGCATGATGCGCTGAGGCTGCCACGTCGTCCTGATTTAGAGGAAACTCGTCTCCCCAACATCTGCTATAAATACTTCTCGTGGATCATTTATGAGGGGATCCGAAAATTTATTGACACTCTCTCTCTACATTAATACTCTTGTCTTTCAGATCGAGCTCTCTGTAACAGATCTTTTGGACACCGAGCTGAACTCTCTTCAAACTCAGCTTGAAACTCTGAATATCATCTCTTTACTAGTTTGCAACGTTTCCGACCTGGCCTCTTTCTTCCTCCCAAAGCTAAAACATTTTTATTATACGAAAATCTCACCCCGAAATTATCTATAATCACTCTCAACATCCGTTAAACATACTTAGTGATTTCAATGATCAATAAATAAAATATAATATAAAATATCAACTTTTTAATTCTGTGGAATTTATAAAACTCACTAAAAGTCATTTTCAAAACAGAATTTCTAGCAAATCTCTAATTTGAAATGACATGTGGAAACAACCATCAACATAATTCTAATTGTAAGATGAATAATTATATTACCAATCCAATTTAATTTATCCTGTATTCCAATAGCTTCACGACTGTATTCTAATAACAAAACAAAAATGGAGTATTCATAATTTCTCGACGGGCCGAAGAATTTCATATGTAAACAGCTTTGAACAACGCGCTTGTATGACACGCACTAAGAAAACGCGTACAGAATAAAGTTTGACTTAGAGGCAGAGTTTTGACTTTAGTGGCTACTGTGTCTACTGGCAAGAGATTTGATATGACTCTCTGCTTGCTTCGAGGAAAAGTAGAGTGTTAGACAAGCTTTTTTGCTACTTGTAATTCCGTCAATTATCGCCGTTTACTCTTCCTCGTCCGGTAACGGCGGTATGTATATCTAATGGAAACTCAATTTATTTCTGAAGGCAAACCATTCCAAAAAAACAAAAACAAAACAAAGAGAATAAAAAAGAAGACTCTTTTGTTACTTTTTGTTTGTTCTCCAGTTTCTCTGAAGCCATCAAACAAGGTAAACTTAAAAAACGAGAGTGAAGCAAGAGGAAGTCAAAAGAAAAGTTTCTTCTCTTGACCTTTGTTTTTCTTCTTTTCTCAACATTAGGTTTTACAACGTTGGTGATTTGGTAGGGGCCTTCCCACTTTGCGCCTAATTTTCCGGCGCAGTATTCTTCGGTATAACCAAATTCCTTTGCGAATAGCTACTTTGCTCACCCTAATGTAACAGTTTAGTAACTACAAGTTTGTTTTCTTTAACAAAGAATTTGCGACCCTTCTGATCAATGTGTTGTACATAGAGTTTCTATTTTTCATAAAACATATCTTAGAGACTCTAAGTTAGAGCACAACTGATCGAGTCTCGTTTTAGATCAATTAAGAATATTTTTTATGATCTCTTTTAAATTTTAACCACCACCTCCTCCTCATGTGACACAAGCTCCTCCACCTGGCACCGTTTTTAGTGAAAGCCAACAAAGCTTCCCACCAGGGGTACAAGCAGACAATGGTACTACTGCTTCATCTGTGCCAATGAGTGTTTATAGTAGCTCTTTGCCTGGACAGCCTCCGTACATTAGTTATCCATCTTCGTAAATATTCGGTTATCCAGAGTTTTCAGATCCGGATCCGGATAGTAAAATTGATTATCCGGCGAATCCGGATTCACAAGAAAAGGTCAAAAACCTCATTCTGAGGCAGCGACCTGTTTACACCGAGGCCGAGTCACCAAAACCCCCAAGCACCAAGTGCTCTATGTCAAAACAATTGCCCTCGGCATGATGCCCTCGTGGTGAAGCATACCAAGGTGCCTGGTAACGAGGAAGAACAAAAACAAGAGCCGCGGTGGGAGTGGCTCTGGCCGTGGGTGAAGAGCTCGCAGCTGCGGTCAGCCCCCTCCAGCTCTCCATGCTTGCTTCTTCAATCTCTTCTTCTCCATTGTTGTTCTCTTCCTTCCAGTGGTTGTCAGGCCTTTCTCGGGTATCCAAATCATTGATTCCAGAGTTCAGATCACACTCATTATGAGCTTTAGAAAGTTTTTCAACTTTCTCTTCTACTTCATCTAAAGCATTCCACTCACTCACTGATTCTTCATTTTTTCTTGTTTGTTACTTCCTCCATATTGTAAAAAACGAAAGGAAAGAAAAATGTACGGAGAAGAAGAAGAAGATGAAGGAAATGTGCTTATCAATCCCGACAACATTGTCGGTTCAGCGTCTTCGTCTCCGAGAGGAACAATCCAAAACCCTGATTTCAAATTTACCACCTTCGAAAACCCTAATTTTATCCCGGTTTGTTCTCTCTTCCAAAACCCTAAAGTCTCCACATTTATCATTTTCTTCCTCTTAAAAGAAAGTTTCTAATTTTGTTTTGGGGTTTTTAGAAGGAAGAGTATGGGATGATGAGCATGATGGGAAACGGGTCAGGTGGGTCAATCGGGTCGGGTAATGACCCGGTTGAGGATTACTAAATCGAACAACAGCCTCCTCCGGCGAAGAAGAAACGCTTCCATAGACACACTGCTTATCAGATTCGAGAAATGGAAGCGTACGTCTTGCCTGTTTTTTATAACAAACTAATTGATAAAACAAATGATGATTACTGTTAATTATTTGGTGTTTATTTGTAGTTTCTTTGAAGAAAATCCTCATCCCAATGACAAACATAGAGTGAGATTAAGTCAAGAACTTGGTCTTACGCCTCTACAAATTAAGTTTTGGTTTCAAAATAAACGTAACCAAATCAAGGTAAATTTCACTTTTATTACATTAATCACTTTTTGATTTGCTTTGATTTTTTTAACAAAGTTAATTAGACTAAACAAAACGCTTATAAAGGTCTATAAAATCTTGCTCAAAGTCTCAAACCACTCATTTTTTTATTCATGTTAAAAAGTTAAGCTGGTGGATCCTATCACTGAATTTTAATACAGTACACTTCAAAATCTTGAAGCATTTATAATATACAAATATTTTCTAATTGTTGCTAATACTGAGATTAACAGACACTACAAGAAAGAAGAGAGAATGTAAAGCTAAAAGCAGAGAACGATACTCTTAGGAGAGTGAATCAGAATCTTCGTTCCAATCTAAAATGCATCTCTTGCTCTTCTTGTGATGGCTCCGGTGACAAACTCCGCCTAGAAAACTCCCGCCTCCGCCAAGAGGTAAGTTTTACATATTCGAATGCACTAATCCTAGCCGTTGATATTTATCAACTAAATCAAATGGCTATTATATGCTGCAGCTTGATCTGTTCCGCAGCATTGCTTCGTTGATGAATCCTCCTCTTTCTCCACAAGACACTGCCAGTTTCTTCTCGGAGACTAATAACAGCAATGTTAAATTGATTGCGGAGGAAGAAAATACGATTGCGATGGATATTGCGGTTTCTTGTGTTCAAGAATTAGCAAAGATGTGTTACACAAATGAGCCTTTGTGGATTAAGAAGATATCAGACAACAACAACGAGAGTTTGTATCTGAATGAGGAAGAGTACTTTAAGATATCCCAATGGCCTCCAATGGATAATGATCATATTCGCAGAGAAGCTTCAAGAGCTAGCACAGTTGTCCTCATGAATAGCATATCACTCGTCAACGCTTTCCTTGATGCAGTAAGAAAAACAGTCAAATGCGTTTCTTGAATTACATTGTTTAAACCTCACAATTAACAGAAATGTGTTCAAATTTTGCTTGAAGGAAAAATGGTCGGAAATGTTTTGTTCAATTGTGTCAAGAGCCAAAACGATTCAGATCATTTCTTCTGGAGTTTCTGAAGTTTCTGGAGCATCTGGTCCTCTTCTTCTGGTGAGTAACTATATTGCAACACATAGAAGAGTCTTATCAATACGTTTTCTTGAAATGATGGAATACTTTTTTTTGTTTATTGAAAAAGATGTATGCAGAGTTACAAGGACTATCTCCATTGGTACCAACAAGAGAAGGTTACTTTCTTCGGTATGTCGAGCAAAAAGCGGAAGAAGGAAAATGGATGATTGTAGATTTCCCGATCGATAGCTTTCACGGTTTGATCAACCCAGATTCAGCTACTACTACTGATCAATACCGCAGAAAACCTTCTGGTTGCATCATTCAAGATTTACCTAACGGATACTCTCAAGTCACGTGGGTAGAGCATGTGGAAGTAGAGGAGAAGCACGTGCAGCACGAGGCGGTTAGAGAGTATGTAAAGAGTGGTGTGGCCTTTGACTCTGAACGGTGGTTATCAGTGTTGAAGAGACAGTGTGAGAGGATGGCTAGTCTCATGGCTACAAACATTACCGACCTTGGAGGTATATAACTTGTTCCACAAGTAATCAAAAAAACTTCCAAAATCAATGTGAATTCGTTTTTGTTTACTCTGTGTTTTTTTTTTTTTTTTTTTGCTTCAGTTATACCATCTGCAGAAGCGAGGAGGAACTTGATGAGGCTGTCACAGAGAATGGTGAGAATTTTCTGTCTGAACCTTAACGGTTCATACGGACGAGCATTGTCTGAATCAACTAAGGACACAGTTAGAATCACGACCAGGAAAGTTAGTGGTGGTGTTGTTCTTTGTGCCGTATCCACCACGTTTCTTCCTTATTCTCATCATCAAGTCTTTGATCTCCTCTGCGACGATTATCATCGCTCTCAGGTAAAGATTCAAAACGAGAAATGTTCTTCCTCTGTTTCTTTTGATCCAAGCCGAAATTGAAAATATTGTTCTTGCTGAATCTGGAGATTTTGTTCAATGGAAATACACTTCAAGAAGTTTCCCATATCGCTAATGGATCTCATCTCAGAAATTGCATCTCTCTTCTTCGTAACATCAATGTTAGTGTTTTTCCAAAAAGTTGAAAACTTTTCAAAAACCCATCAATCAAAACTTGGAATATTTGTTCTAAAGTTTGGTTTTTTTTTTTGGCTTACAGGTGGCGACCAAATCATCGAATAATGTAGAGTTAGTGCTTCAAGAAACTTTCACTGATATATCCGGTAGCCTTCTGGTTTACTCCACTGTGGACGTCAAAACCGTCCAGCTCGTTTTGAACGGCAAGGATCTTTCTAGTATTCCTCTTTTACCCCTCGGGTTCTCCGTTGTTCCCGTGAATCCACCGGAGGGTATTTCCGCCAATTCGCCGTACTGCTTGCTCACTGTTGGGATACAGGTTTTAGTGAGCAACGTAGCCACCGCAAGACTCAACCTTTCCACCGTCAACGACCGCATCTGCTCCACCGTGAAACAGATCATCTCCGCCCTAAAAAGCTCCGGATCCTCCGCCGAGCCCAAACAAGAGATCAGCTGGTGATTGCCGCCGGTAATCAGGAGATGTTCTGGAGGGTATTTTGGTAAATAGTGCAGCTAAAAACTAGTTTGAAGCTGATCTAGGTTTTATAAATGCTTAGTAAGTGACTAAGTGAGGAATTTAGTATTAACTTTTTTGGGGGAGTCAAGAACGCACCAAGGCAGACAAATGCATGATGACATTTTTGGTTGAACCGGGTTTTCCGGTTTGAAAAACACTTGACTGGTTCGGGTATTGACTTCCAACTTGGGATGAACTAACTGTTTGATATTATGGTATTTTGGTGCAATTTAATGCTATTTTTCTTAATTTACTTCCTATGGCTCTTCATATTAAATCTATAATCTTTTGAAAAGAGCTGAAAGTACAGCAACCCCTGTATATCATGGGGGAAGTGCACATCTAGAAAAGATGATCTATTGTATATGTATAGATTGAGATTTGAAGTAGACGTTACTATATGTTTTAGAAACGCCAATATGTGTTGTTACTCGATTTTGAGTGATAATAAACTGATAATTAATACTCTCTAGTTATGGAGACATCATGTTTTACTAGGCGTTCTGTTCTTGCTGTTTGGGGACAAATGTCAATGTGTAGATGAAAGGAGACGGTGACAACGATGCGACTTAGAAAAATCGGTTGCAAAAAGAAAACTACAAGAATCAAAACTAGAGTACTAATCTCTATTGGTGCCAACAAGAGAAGCTTGCTTTCTACGGTACGTAGAGCACAACACGGAAGATGAAAAATGGATGATTGTATAGAAGCTTTCGCGGCTTGATCAAACCAGCTTCAGCTACTACTACTACAGGTTAGTACCGGAGAAAGCCTTCCGTTTCCAATGCCTAACTGATTAGTCTCAGATCACGTGGAAGTGGATGAGAAGCACGAAATGGTTATAGAGTATGTAAAGAACGGTATAGCCTTTGGTGCTGAACGGTCGCTAGCTGTGTTCCACAAAGATTACCGACCTTGGAGGAATATAACTTGTTCCACAAGTAAACCTAAATACTTACACAATCAATGTGTATTTGATGCTGATTTCTCGTTTTCTTTTTCAGTGGATACCATCTGCATAAGCGAAGAGGAAATTGATGAGGATGTTACAGATAATGGTGAGAAATTTCTGCACGGACAAATCATTGATTTGTGTCGCCGATTCCACAACAACAAAACTTTTTTCTTTTGACATTGACGACAAAGAATTTCTTCTTTTCTTTTGCATTTTGGGTTGCCGCGTGACTGCGTCGATCTAATGGCAGCATCACCCAAAAGAAGACGCCCCCACGTTGCAAAAAGAAAACAAGAAAAAGTTATTCTTTACTGAATCCCAAGAAAATGATTGATTCGGTCTCAGTCGCTTCGAGTTTTCAACAGTAAACTGTGCTACATATTCTCTCAAAGATTCCATACACACCCAAAACCAAAAACTCTGATTACATTTGCTTAAATTTTGTGTTTTTTTAAACTGATTTACAATTACTTTACTAACAATCAAATAATCATATAAATTGGCAAAAACAAAAAGAGTGGTGGGTCTTTTCCCATCCAATTATTTACATTTTTTTTGAATAATATTTGATGCTTACATTACTAGTGTGACATGGATACAAATAAAGAACTTATATCCTGTAAAAAAAACGTTTACAAAACCACATCCCAATAACTTTGTCAAATATTTTTCTTGTTATTAGATGACCAGCTAAGATTGGGGTCTTTCTTTTTTAATTTATTCCCCTGGTAGATTTAGTTCATCATTTGAGTTAAAAGTTTGCAAGCAACTCTTTTGTCGGAATTTAAATGTGGGTTCTTGTTAAAAATCTCCCAAAAAGATTCGTGGGGGCAATTATTCTAACAAGCTCCAAATTTCTTTCCTCTATCCTCTATTTAAAAGATTCAGTGTGCTCCCAACTTTTTCATTCCAATCAAACTTTTTCCTATTTCTAATTCTTCTTTTCACATTTTGCAAAATTTTCGTTTTCTGTTTTAAGTGGTGATGATAGAAGTAAGAATATTGACGTCAGATAAAGTGATAAACTTCAATCGCAACAATATAAATCTATATATATTTATTATCTATACAAACTGGTACATATATTCTTGCAAAAGAAATAAATGAATTAAGTATGTAATATCTACAAAATTTTCGGCATTAAAGGTCTTACAATTATTCACTGAGTGAAGTGGACAGGATGCTTTTTGGCCTACTCAAATTGTTGGGAACCTTTGTTTTCTAATATTTCACTCCATAGTTTCAATAGTTTAAAATATTTCTCCGAATTATTGATTAGTTAATCCAAGCCCTCAGAAGTAAATCATAATTAGTGTATTGTTTGTATATGAACGCCTTGATTACTACAAGGTACAACCTCAGGTACTACTAGTGATGATATTTCAAACTCGGATTGCTGGAAATTAACAACAACAAAAATCAATAATTGTGTCTTTTGAAAATAGAATAAAAAATTCCCAATTGTTTTATGTATTTTATTAAAATTAATCGAATAAACTATAGTTTTATAATATGCATAATAATGTTTTTAAATCAATAGTCTTTTTACTTTGTCTTATACAACATCAACTCTCCAGTCTCAGTATCATATCTCTTTACATGGTTTCGGTATATCCACATCTCTTAAAAACTCTTAGATCGATAAGTTTCCAACTACAGTCTCTTTATTCTCCAAGGATTAGCTATTTATTAGCTTCCTCTCCTCATTGATTTCCAACTTACCTTCTTTATTTGTGCTTAAATTGTAACTTCAAAATGCTCTCTCGTGAAATGATGAGATGTAACACAAGATTATACATGAAATGTTACTTTCAGAAAGAAAAAAAGGCGATATGCATTTTTGTCTTTTTGACGAATACACGATGCATTATATTTTCAAACACTTTAAGCTTTTATTTTCTTTATAGTTTATCATTGAAATTCCTTTCTTTTTGTCTTATATATCGTTCCCCGTGCGGAACTAACCTGGAAGGATCGACTTTAACGGAACCTAATATTGGATTAACCCTAAATAACATTATATCAATGTCTATCGTTTTCTTATCATAAGATATTTTTTCAAGTAAGTTTAATGAAATATGTGAAAACAAAAATCAAACGAATCAATGGATCGTCCCCAACATTATCTGTCGATGTATGGGCTTAGGGGACATGAATTATCAAAGGGCATTTTGGGAATCAAATCTTGGACTGTCCATCGGTGGCATAGGGCCAAAACTTAAATTAATGTCGTATGGTATTTTGATAAAATGGAATTAATGCGTGGTAGAATAAAAAAAAATTAGATGTTAGTTTGGTTAAAAAAATTCTAATAACAATGCACATATATTTGATATTATACATTTTCAATTTATTATTCTCTTTAGATGTCGATCCTATCAGTTATCACGTAGACAAAATCACCTTCGCCACAAAACCAGTTATAGAGAAAATAAACATTTTTATTCTTCAAAAAAAAGAAAATAAACATTTTTCAGGTATTATATTCAATATATTATTATTGGGCAACGAGCCACCAACACTGTAAAGCAAACAAATGTTCGGTATAATTCCAAACTCTGACTTCAGAGAAGACAAACCATAGAAAAAAAATAGAACAAACAACAAGTGACGACGATATCTTTTCAATAAGCATTTTTCGATTTACATATTGTACCATTTTATAGCAAGTAGCTAGGTGTTGGCTTTTCTTTCTAATAAATATCAGCATTTGATTACATTTTACTTTTCTTTCTCATGAACAATTATTTAAAAAAAAAAACTATATATAATAGCTCGCACATCTTTCAGTTTAAACACAAGTGTCATTTTCACATGTAAATCTGAACACAAATAATGGAATATTTTCATACATTATTGTTGTACCCTCATTAAATATTGATATGTGATAGATGATATCTACATTTTAACAAAACATGCCATTGAAGTTGATATTTTCCTATACATACGAAGATAAAACGAAAAGAGAAATTGAATGGAAATCCATGTTTCACCCAACCCCTTTATTAGACTCTTAAAGTGTCAACTTCTCAAAGGGAACAGAGAAGAAAGAGACTTCTCATTCCCCTCATACCTTTTGCCCATCTCTCTCTTTCTCTCTCTAACTCTTTGCAACTGCTTTTCTCTTCTCACCAAGAACACATATTCATTAAGCTAAGGAAGAAGAAAAAACAATTTTTGAAACAAATAAGGTTATAACCCCCCCCCCCCCTTTCTTTCTTTTTCTTCCCCAAAATTCAGCAATACTATCTCAAAGTCATTCAAAATAGTCTCTTGTTATGGATCTTTTCCCTTCACAACCTGACTTGTACTTGAAGATCAGCAGAAAAGAGAAAGAAGAAAATCAAGAACTACTCGAAAGGAGATTAGGGTTTGGAAGTAAAGCCTCAGATTCAGGCAGAAAGTCTTCTGACCATCTCATCCACACACTCCAATTCACTTCAAACAATGAATCTACCAAGATTGATCATAATCAAGAACACAAGGAATCTCGCAATCAAGATATGAGACCAATCTTGATGACGAGACCAATAAGAGGAACCCCTCTTTACCAAAATCAAATCCTTGACCACTACTACTACTCTCCCACTCCTCCTTTCTTCTTCAGTGAAGTCAACGGTCAACACGCAAACCCTAATTTTACTTCTAATCATCTTCACCACCGTCATCGGCGTCAAGCTCAGCCGCCGCCGCAAAGATTCACGGCCAAACGAGGAGTAAGGGCTCCGAGGATGCGGTGGACGACGACCCTTCATGCTCATTTCGTTCATGCTGTTCAATTATTGGGTGGTCATGAAAGTATTGTCCTTTTTCACTATTTTCTTTTGGTTTTTTCTATTTTCTTTTTAGTTAATAATATACAGATCTCCTTTTAACTAATTGAGTGGGCATTATATATTATAATTATATTTTTGTTGATTTTGTGATTTTGATTACTATTCAGGAGCAACTCCAAAATCAGTACTTGAGCTGATGGATGTGCAAGATCTCACATTGGCTCATGTTAAATCTCATCTACAGGTAATTTATCTCCATTAGTTCGTAGCTTATACAATCGCAATCTACTATATAGTTTCCTTGTATTATGTTTTTCCTTGTATTATATTTTAATAAGCAAATGAACCGAACCCACTGCACTACTTAATTAATGAAATGACTAAATATTTTCTGTGATTAATTGTTTTTTTTCAAATTTATATTGAGAAAATATTTACCAAGTGAAACAAGAAATTATAACAAAAATGTGGGAAAAGAATCAAAAGCTAGAAATAGCCAAAAGACCAAGAGAGAGTCCTTTTGTATATAACTAAGAGATGCAGATGAAAAGGTAAAGTACAGAGAAGGCATCATTCTTCAATGATGATATGTTCTTTCTCAGGATTCATATATGCACACATATCTGTACATGTATGATTTTATCAATGACGATATATAAATGACTTTTTTTGCATAATTTGACTATGGTTTGAACAAGACACGTAGACCCATGCACATACCCCATCTCTGTTTATGGCTGCACATTTTCATGAATCGTAAATGCTTTCTCTTCTATTCTGCTCTCTTTTTTCTTACTTTATCCATCTATGTCTCTGTGTGCGTGCATATATATATATACATATATATATGTAGAGAGAGATAGACAGAGAGGATACACACACGTGAATGAAAGAAATCTACACACACGCGCGCGCACATACATATATATATATATATATGTATTAATCGATATGATATAAGTATACATCCTATTCTTATAACTATCATTAATATACATTTTGTAGTTTTGTAATCAAATTTATAATGTTTCAGATGTATCGGACCATCAAATCCACTGAGAAGCCTACAACATCATCAGGTTACTGATTAATTATGTTTTGATTGAATTAGATTGTCTTAGATACTAAATTATTGATAAATGTGTGTGTATATATATGTATATATATAGGACAGTCAGACACCTGTGAGAATGGATCACAATCAAATAGTGAGAGACAAGCCAGAGGGCTATGGAATAACTCCTCAAGGTATGTTATGTTCTAAAATAGTCTTATTATGATGTATTTGCTTTTGTTATTGGTGTCACTTTATTTTCGTCGGATAGATCGCTATATACTTATTGGGCAACGATTTATATCTGCATCATATAAGAACGTACACTTCGTATTATTTTGTTTGTTTAGTCGAAAATTATTTACATTATTCCTGAAGAACAAAATTTGATGAAATTGGGATTTCTGTATAACAACAGTGAAGCTAGATTCCATTTAAAGGCAAAGGCATCAGCTCTAGACATCTCATCCAATGAGGTAACAAAATTTCAAAATCTTAACCAAAAGAAAACGGGGTTGCCAATTCCGAGGGTGGAAAAGAAAAAAGTTTTTGTAAAGGATTTTGATTTACTTTTTCCCTTCCACTTGGGTAATTTTTTGGTCTCAAAAGCAGAGAAAAGAATGACTTTTTTGGTAGATATGAGATGCATAATACTTTATTTCTCACCCAAATTCAAAAGATTTTAACAATGTTCAGAATAATTTTCTTCGACCCAATCACCCAATAGTAGAAATCAAATGGGAAAAAATCGTAAATATGCATGCAATCTATACAATATTCTGCGATATGATTTTTAATCATATATATCTATATATTATTTAATTTTTCACCAGAATGTGGATCAAAGATGTCCAAGCTACGAACGATTGTCGTCGGATTCGTCAAGCCTCACAGGGACAAGACCCGAGACTGAAACTCCCAATCTGGATTTCACTCTAGCTACACCAAACCTTCCTTCCTAATTTACTATATTCTATATACGATAAAAAAAAACTGTTTAAAAAATATAAATCTCAAGCTTTAAATTTATGCTTGCGTTATAGGAAAAATGAAATGGCGTATTGTTTTTTCGATTATTGATTTGTTCTTTAGTCCTGTGAACTTGAGATGCTTTTGTTTTTTCTTATGGTGTCGTCAATTTGAGATGCTTATATATATGCAGTCTTCTTGTCGCAAAAAATATGGAATAAAATTATTTGGTCATCATTACAGCGATGCAAAGCTATGACTGCTCCACGTGTTTAGATCGGTCTGCTTTATTACCACACACATGGTTCTCTGAACCTTTAGACGTTGACGCGCCAAAGACTTTCACACTAGTTTTTTTCCCAATATTCGATATTCGGTAAAGACAAAAAATGAGAATAAAATCTAATAAACAATCCTTTTTTTTTTCAAAGATTCTAAAGGCATGTTTATCGCTAAAACCTTTAATGAGTTCTTATTGAATATTTTATTAATAAATTTAACTTGAAAACCTTGCTTAAAAACTTTGCTTAAAAACAGGTTTATTGCAGGGTTCTTAAAAACAATATCCATTTTGTCACTGATACACCATCAACGAGAGTGTGCTCCACTTTTGTCACTGATACACCATCCTTTTCCACAGGGAGTTCTGCCATTGTAGATTCTGTCACTGATACACCGTCTTCTACACTGGAGATTCCGACCGACAATGTCTGTGGAGAACCATCGTTTTCTCTGTCTTTCTCGTCGACTTCCCAACATCTTTGGGAACAAGAGAGGTCAACGTAGCTGAAAAGAGATTTGAAGACGAGAGGAGAAGTGGTTGCTCGGAGAAGAGTTTGATCGCAGAAGGATTTGGTGAAGTGTTTGATCCCAGAAGAAGAAGATCGGACGACGGCGCCGAAAGATTTTGGCTGATGAAGAAGAAAATTTTCTCCCCAAAACCATCAACCCATTCACAACGTGACACGTTGCAATAAAAGTCGACTCCTTATAAATCTTAAACAGGGATCGTTTATTCTAATTAAACCCATTTTCTATTTAATTTTGGCCCAAATCATCATAAGGAACCCATGAAGATACCTGCAATAAACATGGCCTAATTATCTATCCACAACTCAAAATGCTAATAAACAGATGAGGTTCTCTTTACAAAAGAAACATAACAAGAGAAAAGTACATACTAATAGATACTCTTAGTTATATATCACCAGGGCCGGCCTTGAGTTGAAGCGGGTAAAACAGTAGCTTTAGGCGCCAGATTTAGAATAAATATTAGGGGCAGCAACTTTTACTAAAATGTCTTTGAGTCTAGTGGTTATTCCACCTTTCTGTTTTATTTTCAAGGGGCAGCAACTCAAGTTCGATGCTTCTAAATGTATATTTTATGTAAATTTTTTCATCTTGCTTTAGGCGTCAATGACAATTGGGCCGGCCCTATATATCACTAATTTCTTATCTATTTCCCTAAATGTTAGATTAGACGAAACGAAAATATTAGATAAATATCTATAGATCTTACTTCAAAAGGAGAAAAATAATCAGAAAACTTAATCAGGCCGAATAAATGACATAGAAAGTCACAAAATGACCCGTTTCCAAACAAAAGAGTATAACTTGAATTTTTAATATCCTCCGTAAAGTAATATCTAATACTATTTATATATGTTTTGTTCACCTGATTTTTAAGTGTAATTATAAGTAATTTTTAAGTGAACAAAACATATATATCACTCCGAAACTTGTTACATTAATCTGATTACTTATAATTACACTATTAAAAAAAAAACTCACTTTTATTCTTCCATTTATGTTATTTATACGTTAAGCTTGTTGAAGTGATCGCACCTGCGTCTCACCTCTCCATCTTTATCGCCTTTAACGCCCACCGTGCCTAGTTTTTCCATGGCACGTGCAAAATCTTCGAAGAAAACCGTCTGATTATTTGCATATAATTCGACAAACGGTCTCGTGCTTTTGTCCTTAAACAAGATGTGGTCGGACGCTAACAATCCAAGCCCTCTTCTCAAGTTCTTAAAATACATATTATCAAATTTTCCCGGCGTCACCGGGTCGAGAAAAGCCGCCATCGTTTTATTGACCTGGTAATCCTTGCATAGATTTTTGAGCACCCCTGCGAATTTAGCGTCGAGCTCTGGATCCGTCTGTGGTCCAAAGATCCGGCTACTGAATTCTTTGCAGTGAGAAAATCCGACTGTGTGCCCGCCGCTTAGTGCAACCATCTCCCTTAGAGTGAAACCATTCTTTTGAAATATAGACATCATGTCTTGGACTGTATGATTTGCTAATGGTATGTTTCCTTTCACTTTATGAGCTTTCGACTCAAATCCATCTTTACGGCCCAACTTGACTTCATAGAAAGGCCCACCAATCATTGTGACAAGGTCACGCGTGGACTGAGCCAAGATGTCTGCGCAAGACACAACCCCGGGACAAGACAATTCAAGAGCGGTTTTGATGCGAGTCACGATGTCAAACGCATCTCCCGGAAGCGACTCGTTTAGGTCATCGTCGCGTTCGGCTTTGTTGAAAGTATTTGTAGCAATTAGAACGGATGCGTCACATCCTTCTAGGAAACAATCGTGGAAAAAAAGACGAAGCGTTCCAGCAGCTGTTGTTGGCTGCTGAGATTGCTTCGTTGTAACGGTTTCACGAACGATTTTACCGAAATCAGGACATGTTTTTTGATAATAATCTTTCGTTAAACTTGTCTCTGTCTCTAGTGCCGTTAATATGGGCGGGACAAAGAGTAAGACGACGGAGAGAAGGCTCAGAAATGATGACATTGTGGCTTTCATGATCAGGTGAATATTGATCTACGATTAAAATGCTTTTGTAAAAAATGGAAAATGGAATTTAAATCAAGTGATGTCTACGAGGTGGACCTCTCTCTTTGATTGTTGTTGAGGAAAAATAGAAGCATGTACGTGTGGTTGGAGTTTGGCTCTCTTTTTTTTTTCCTATATTTGTAATTGGTCTATATAGATGTCAAATAATTGGTCTATAGATAGCATATCATACTTGTTTATTCATTTTTTTAATTACAAACGTTTTTTCCAATATTAATTAATATCGTTTGGCTTCTAGGATGTTAATTAAACACAAAACATGGGATGGTAATTGGGTTAGTGTGAATGTTAAGTAGGAAAGCGTTGGATATGTAAAAACCTTGAGGTCGTGTAATATCATATGTTCGCTGGTTGGAGTTTCGGAAGATTTTTTTTTATATAATGCATTTTGTAATTGGTCATTCTTTATTCACCATTTATAACCTAAACCAATCGATTTCTTCTTGTTTCAAACACTAAAAAGGATATTTTGGCTCGTAGTACTTGATTCAAAAACTGCTCGGTTTCATTTGTAATCTCTTTTTCCCCCGATTTGAGCTTCCATTTCAGGTGTTCGATTTAAATTTTGTAGTTGACCACAAAAAATGCCTACACCAAAAGGTTACTATCTATCAACACATAATTAATTTGCAAGAATGTCAAATTATTACATGTAATCAATAGTAGGTGAAGTTAGAAAACTGATCATGTTATTATTGGTGGTTGTTAATTGCTAGTTATCTTGGAACTAAAAACAAAAACCAAATTTATTAATTATTATTTTTTTGTCAAACATCCATATTACTTTGTTCATGAATTTTATTATTTTGTAACTTTGCATGCATTTATGATTATATGTTAAAAAGTGTATTCATTTAGGATTTAACATATACCATGTGGTCATTTCATGAAATCTATTGAAACTAACGTACTTCTAGCTGGGAAAAAAGGTTAGTAACGTGTTATGAATTCAAATGGAAAAATATCGTAGAAACACATAAGTTCATTTATCAGTTTATCAACCTACTTTTAGCAGAGACGCAATGTCATTAACGAGTACTCTTGTACCAAATAGCATGGCTATATTATCATCAGGGGTTCAAGTAAGGTCAGATACCAGCCCTTCTAGAACCAGTCCAAGGGGCTCAATAAATATTAAACTAAGATTGAAGTGGAAAACTAAAATGATGTATACAAAAATGTCAATAATATCCAAATCACTCGCAAATTTGTACAAAGATATTGCTTCAGTGAAACATCATTTATTTGTTGATTGTGGCAGATTTTTTTAGGGAGAACGTAAAACTTGTAAGTACTATCGTATGTGGTTTTCTCAATTAAACTACTTCAACAAACCCGATCATTGATTTTGCCGTAGTCGAATATGGTATGGTGAGGTATCATGAAGGTCTTCTCAAAATCTTGTACTCGTGTAGTCTTCAATTAACATATCAATACTCGATTACAACTTACAAATTACCAGAACAGAAATCAAAAAATTAATTCTATAGATTATAGTCATAAAAATCATCATTATCACGACAACCCTATTGGCTATAATGATTTGGTGAAGCAATTAGGCCAATCTCTTTGACCAAGTCCGTCTAAAAACTGAAAAAACAAGATTTCTCTATTTATTTTGGTTTTGGGTTGTTAAATGAGTTTGGGTTAATTAAAATATTGTGCACAGAAATTACACAAAACAATTTTTGGTTTAAACAATGTTGGATTTTATTGTGTTAGGTTTGTATTCAGCTAAGCCAAAATAAATATAACTCTTACAATGGTAATACTGTTGAACAAATGTGCTTTTTATTGCAAAAACAAAATATAAAATCCTACTCACAATGAGTCAAAAGATATTAGAGAGCTAAAGGCGGTTTGATTCTTTTTATTATCTTAACGTGAATTTAGTGATTGACATCAAAGAAAAGAGAGATAGATACTTGTGGGTTTTTGCTGTTGTGTGTATCAAAAGATAGGAAATTGCAATGGGATACGAATCAGATTCTTTATGGGAGATAGATACATCGAAGAATTCGAGTCCGAAAGCCATCAACATCCTCTCTGTGACCGCTTCAAATCTAGAGAAGAAGAAGAAAAATGATGATGAGACCTCAAAAGATTCCAAAACCAACAAGGTTACAAAGAGACCACTTTTTCAAAGATTGTGGACCAAAGGTGATGAAAGCATCAAAAGCAAAAGTTCCTTTCTAGGATGAAGACACAACCATCTTCATCAATTATAATGATTGCTTCCTAATTTTGAACCTCTTTCATGGTAGCAGGGTCAAACTAGAGCATCTTTGCGGAGATACTCTTCAGTAACAGCTTTCTAATTTTTGGCAAGAAGGTCAATATGAACTTCTTGTAGAGCAGAAGTCCTAATGGTAATGAGGTAAACAACCTGTAGAGAAATATGCAGCCAATTTTGTCAAAATGAGTCATTAGGTCATTGCTGATTCATTCTACTCAAATTTTCAGAGTTCAAGTCGTATTTTAGGTTCATTTAATAAATGAATTCAATGCTTAAACCTAATTGGGTAGAGTCGGAGAATTATATGAGTGAGCTCTAATGAGAAGTGACTTAGCTCGCAAGCAAAATTATAAAAATAAGAGTTAAAATTTTAAGTTATGAGTTTCCTTTTTCAAAAAAAATAGAGAAAGATGCAAATAAAGGTTGGTAACATTGATGAAAATCATGCATATAACGTGGACAACAGCCTTAAAAGTCCCACAAGTCTGTGTACACTTTCGTCCCTTCCCCTCTAAAACCTCATCTTTGATAACAAGTGTGAAACTAGGATGGGTTGAGCTCATGAGAGCTTTATTAAGAAGAGATTTAGCTAAGAAGATAGACATTGAAACATATAGCTCATAGAGCTTTATTTAAGACAATAAAGTAAAGAAGTGGAAAGAACGTGAGATTGTCTGCAAGAGTATAATGACTTTGATTATCACATTAAGAAGAGAAAGTGAGGCTGCGGTTTTTAGCAGCCAAAGTTGGTTACAAAGACTTTCCTAGAACATATTTATAAGACTACTTGGTAGGAACCCTAGTTACACTTAAGACTTCATAACATGGGCTTTGGACTTCTGTTGGGCTTTTATGCATGAGCTCTAATACTCCCCCGCAAACTTGGCGTCGAGTGAATGCAAGATGCTGAGTTTGAACTGCAGATGGAAGTGACTTGGACAGAAACATGTGTAATCAAGCAAGACCATTGTGATGTAGGTTGATGACTCTATTCACCATGAAGAACAAGCCTTAGCGTGAGAACTATTCAAGTCTGTACCTGGAGATTGTCGCATGGCTCCCTCAGAGGTTTCTTTTGAACTTGGAGAGCTTAGTCAACATCCCTCAGCGACTTATTTGTCTCACTGAGAACCGGGCTTCTTTGACCCTTTTAACTCCTAATCTGTCTCCTGACGAAAGAATTATCTTCCCAAACCTACTCAAATCCTACTCTTTAGCAACTGCTTCCAATAGCCAACAAAAATCTGCATTTTGTAGAATCTATCCTTCTCTTTGACATTTCATCGAGCACTTGGAGTACATTCATCAAAACACTTTGCTTTTCCACACAAAAAAACGACAACAGAAACCTTCCAACACAGTCATAGCAAACCCCATACCACTCATATTTCATCCAAGACTCTCAATTCCAGACCTAAGAATCTAAACCAGCAAGCCAAATATCCTTCTCAAGCTACAAAACAAGTTATCTCTATTTCTTTGGATCTGTCGCAAAAAAAGGAGACTTCTTTACCGTGATATGTGTAAAGGAAGAAGCTTGAAATCTTGTGGTTCCAAGGTCTTTAGCTTCGGCTGATGAGTCTGGTGGTCTTGAGAGCACTTAAAAAACGTCAGCAACTTGCAGCTTTTCACCAGATGCTTAGTGTTGCAAACGATGTCTTCATGAAGCTGGTGAGATGAAGCGAGACCAACTCTCTGAAGATGATGCTAGAGCTGACTTGTTAGGTTGAGAGGAAGCTTAAATGACCCATGAATCGACTGAAGCTCTGATACCATGATAACAAGTGTGAAACTAGGATGGGTTGAGCTCATGAGAGCTTTATTAAGAAGAGATTTAGCTAAGAAGATAGACATTGAAACATATAGCTCATAGAGCTTTATTTAAGACAATAAAGTAAAGAAGTGGAAAAAACGTGAGATTGTCTGCAAGAGTATAATGACTTTGATTATCACGTTAAGAAGAGAAAGTAAGGCTGCGGTTTGTAGCAGCCAAAATTGGTTACAAAGACTTTCCTAGAACATATTTATAAGATTACTTGGTAGGAACCCTAGTTACACTTAAGACTTCATAACATGGGCTTTGGACTTCTGTTGGGCTTTTATGCATGAGCTCTAATAATCTTCCCCATTTATTTCTCCCATTCTTTCTCCCATAATTATCTAATACTCTCCTTAAACTCTTAAAACTATATTTTCATCATTATCACCACCATTTTCCACATACACCCACATGAATGCATAGATAATTCTTCTATGTTAAATAATTATAATGGCGGTTCAAGCTCAGCCTCCTTCCAGTTTCTTCTTCCTCAACAGGTGAAAATATCTTCATATAATCATATGCCTTTCACAGCCTGTGTGTATATTATTTTTATCAATATATGAAAATGTGATGTTTCCGATTTCTTAATAAAACATTTATTGAGCAGTAACGGACAAGAAGGAAATGATTGTTCGTTGCAGCCTCACGACACTCGTTTTCACATTCATCAAAATTGGTCTGTTTTTATTCCCAAATCGTTTTTTTCTTTTTCTTTTTTTTCTTAGATTCTTCTTTCGTTAATTATCACCTTGAAAGTAAACCTTTTTTTCAAAAACAGGGGTTGTTGATTCGAGAAAGCGATCAAGAGAAGTTTCGTCGGTGGACTATATTGAATACTCGACGGCGGCTACGATGAACACTCGACCGTCAAAACCACCGCAAGTTATCAAATTGAGCGAGTTGTTGCAGAATCATAACCGGAAAATGCCTAATGTGGTTTCCACTGGTCTCCGTTTATCTCATGAGGAGTCTTTTTCTATGCTTCCCGGAGATCTCACCGGAGAATTTAAAGGTCAACGAAATGAGTTGGACAGTTTCCTTTAAATTCAGGTATTTTACTTTGTTATTTTTGGAAATTCTTTGTCTATTGTTCTTCTTCTTTTCGCTGGAATATATTGGAATTTGTTTATTTTAGAAAATTTAAAATTTTGGATTTGAAGATATGCACAAAAAAACATTATTGTATAGGTTAAAATGGCGAAGGAAACTGGTTTTTAACTTACATTTAGGTGATTCCTTGATGAACAAAGGACCATAAAAAAATGATCACCTTGAACTGTTGTGGTGAAATGGCAGATTAGTGTATTTTTTTTTCTGTACTAATGGCAGATTATCTAAGAAGTATGATGCAAGAGATAGAGTTTGATATTGATAATGTGGTGATAAATTTATTGGTAAATATGTGTGGAGCAGCGACTAATGAGATTTGTGTCAAGAAAACATATTTCAGGGTCAAATGAAGTTGTTACTCAATTTTGATATGAAAACTATGCGATTTAGTTATTGGGAATGTCTTCCAGTTCCATGAACTACGGTTCCGAATATGGTTCATGTTCACGTCAAACCGGAAAATCAAAATCGTTTATATAATCATTATATAGGGCAACTATTTTGGAGTTTCATCAATCAAATGATGATAGTCAAATACATTTCAAATCGTGGAGTAGTATGAAGGGTTTCACCAAAAAAAAAAAAAAAATAGTAGTAGTACGAAGTAAGATGATTACATGTATTTGATCATTTGTTAGCAGGTAACGCTTGCCAAAAGGAAACAATTTCCCTTTTTCATTAATATTTGTTATACATGTTTTATGTATTTGCTTGTATTTGTGTGTGTTTGTATTTTTTTCAATGTCCGTGTAAGTTGTCTTTAGAATTAACCAAAAAGAAAAAATAAAAGGAATTGATACTCCCTTAAAATCTAAGTTTGGTGAGACAACTTTCCTTATGATTTGCATCAACAGACTATCATTCCACGTGAAAATAATGCGATCCAATTCTTAATGAGACTTCTTTGCCTTGAATAAATGATATGATCCAGCATTTGGATCCATGTACTAATTTATTCATCTACATACAAGGCCGTGCCTATGCAGAGAAAAAAGAAACATTCGTCTATGGGTCGCTTTTTTAAAAATAATTAAAATTTCCAATTAACTTTGAAACTTAATCCAATTATACAATAAAATATTAAGATAATACACATAACAACTTAAATAATTAAAAAAATATGTTTTTATTCTCCTTTTCTTCATTAAAGATCTTTACAACTCATTATTCTTCTTACCACAATAACCACATATTTAATTGGTATCTGTTAATAGCTAAGTATTTTTTTAATATATTTTTTTCATCTAATATCAGATTTAGTTTGATTTATGATTTAAATTTAATTACAAATAAAAACTCAAATAATTGGTTAATTTATTTATTTAAAAAAGCATAATTCAGAATTTTAGATTGAAATAAGTTTAAATTATAGATATTTATTGTAGTTTTATGAATTCAAAAATGATAATGGTAATTATTTATGTATTATTGGTTTTATATAATTTGAAACTATTATAGTTATTATTTATTTTATATGAATCATATTGATTTTATTGAATTTATGATAATGATAGTTAATTAAGGGTTTTTTTTAACATGGCTTACTTACGGGTCTCGAAACTCTAGGCCAGCTTTGTCTACATACCAACCAAAGAGGAAAAAGCTCGCTTGTATGAACACGTTAACTTTAATTGTTAACTAGGCCAGTGTAATATGATGAATAGTCATTACGCATATTTTATCAATCACATCATCGTAAAATATATATCTATTCTGCTATTCTTATTTTAAAGTGGGAAATCTCAATCCGAAAACTCTGTATTTAACGGGATGAATCAGATAACAACATAATTAAGGACTATGTAGGATATTTATTTGACTTATAAATTAGTGTTGTAACGTAAAAATATGAAGTAACTTGATCGATCACTAGACCTATGAATATGATCTTGCAAAACGATTTTTTACTTTTTTCCTTTTGAAATGTAACAAAGTTGTCAATTGACATTACACAAGTTTAGTGGCCCAAAATGAATAACTAAAACCTAAACTTTGATCAGATTGCATAGCATTGAAAATATGTCATATATTTTCAAGCGCAGGCCCAAAATATAATAATCGTACTTTACGGGTAGCGTGTAAGGTGGTGCATGCGCTATATGCGCTATATGATAACAAAAAAGGTGATGGATTAATATAAACTAAACAAATGGTGATGGAATTGATATAAACTAATTTATAAGAATTATAATTCATAAACGACAAAATAAGTATCTTAGGTTGCCCTCCTGGCTCCGACTAATACACTAGTACATAAATAATTGTAGGAATGAATATTAGGTGTGCGATTAACAGAAAGTAATGAGTAATTAGTAGAATTAGCTTTATAATAATTAATCAATTTGTTTGATGAAAGTAAGTGGGAAAGAATCTAATACGATAAACGATGTGTTTCGACATAGGAGACATATTGTTGTCTGGTGGCAGTTTCTAGATCTCTTATTGTGAACAATGAACCTAATGATCCGAGAACTGCATCAAACTTGAAGAGCAAGGCTGTTCTTAGGATTATTTAATTAACTAATTAATATAAATATCAAGTTGCTAATAGTATGGACTCTGATTTAATTTTTGTTTCATATAAATAATTAGTGGTCTGGTGCGCCACAAATATTGTTTCCTTTTTGAACTCATCCCATGTGACAAACCCGACGATTAATACAGTATTATAATTATAATTATCCTTTGAGAAATGTCTACAAACTATTGTATGGAGACATGTGAATTACTTGATTGGAGTTGTGCTACTTGTTTTTTTTCCTTCTAAAGATCATCAATTGCAGACTTGTCGAATTAAATCTAAACAGGGTCATTCAACTCTCACTAACTAAACAGTAACTGATTATTAGATCATTTGGTTTTATGGAATACTAGGAGAGAACCCGCGCATATGCGCAGATCTTGTTTTGATTTATATTTTAAATAATACATTTTTAGAATTTGTTTTGAATTATCTTTTTACCATCATTTTTTTCGTTTAAAATATTTATATTTTCTTCGATTTCTTCTAGATAATACACTATTTGTAATCTCTTCGACATGAGTTGTGCCAAATAATCCGATTTTTCTCCTACGGTAATGAGAGACTAAAGATCTACTATTTTAATTTATGTATAAAACGTAATATCTCATAGAAAAATTTACCATTTTGAGTTTTTTTGGTTATATATATTTTATTGATTCCATTTTTAAAATTTTTTTAAAAAAACTTTGTATGACATTTTGATGTATCTACTCTTTTTTTTTACTATTACTTTTTCTAATAACTTTTATTTTTATAATTGTTTATTGAATATTTAGTCTTATAATTTTATTAGTAAGAGTTTTATATAGGATTATTTAAAACTTCTTAACTTATTCAGTTTCATAATTTTTTTTCACTTACATTAAAATTTAATGATATTTATAGTTTGAAAATATAGTTTAAATCACTTGAAAAAAGAAAATAGAATGGTGGATTTAAAAAATCTTGTATTATATAATATTTTAAGTTTTGATATATTTAAAATAAATTTAAATTTTATTTATTTAAATAATTTTGTTCATATACATATTAATATTTATTAATGTGCTTTAATGTTTTTTTAAATGTGATTAATTAAATATTTTTCTTTGAATGTAATTAATTATTTATTTCATTAAGATTTTAAATGGACAGGTGGCGCTTTTTCCATGCTGATGTGGCAAACAATTGGAGGAAGTTGGCCAAGTTTTATATATAAGATGTTAGAAATTGTTGTACCAAAAGAGCAATCTGTTAGCAATTTTCTCTTAATACGATGTTATTTATTAAGTGTGTATAAGACGTTTTAACTCATTCGACGAGCCTATATTAAGGTTTGAATTTGTATAATTTCATCGTTGATTAAGACTTTGATGCCCCCAAATTATATGAAAATACTTTTAATCTTGTTTTCGTGATAATGTGATATGCATCCAAAATTATTTTCTTGATATATTATTATGATAAATGCTTTTTTGTACATAATTACTTGCAAAAACATCATAGTATTGTCTTCAACTTTATCAATAACTGTTATTAGATAAATTTTTCTAAAATTTAAATTGTTAACATATTACATATATAATTTTTATATGGATAGTGGTTAATAACATATGTACTTTTATATTCGATATTATATATCATAGTCTTGAGTTCATTCTTTTTTTTTCGTCAGTCTTTAGTTCATTCATGTTATTAATTAATTGATATAGCATTACGAACTACAAAATCACTCTATGTAAAAATAAAAATATTTATATATCATTAAATATAAAATATGAATTTTAATTTTATTATTATTTATTTATAGATGTGTTATTGTATAGGGGTTTACTTACTTGTGACTTAAATCTATATTATTGAGTGAGAAGACTTTGGACATATAATTTCGCACCGCCGGCTTATAATTTTTCGTTGAAAATTCCTACCTAGACTGAAGAATATTCGTTATTGAACTTATAATATTAATTTTGCTATATAGTTTATATAAAATATATATATATACACATAAATAATCATCTCTCCGTGTTGACAAGAACTGAGGAAAGTACAGTAAAATTAGGGGGAGACTTGACTGAGCTGATTCGTTAAAATGGGCCCCAGAGAAATCAATTCTGAATCGGACGATGGAAAATGATGTTACGTATACAAAAATTGTGAGCCGTCTATCTTGGACGGTATTAGATTGACCTGGTAGTAGTCAAGCACTGCTCTTTTAAGGGGTACGTGTTGCGATACGCCAAGCATTCGGATACACGTGTGTCTCGTGTGAATCTCAAGAGAATAAATATGCATCTACTAAAATAAACCAAATTAGTTTTATTCAAACAAAATAATTATTTAAAACGAGCATCAAGGGATATACAAAATTTTTTTTTCAGCCTAACGATTTCTAGATAGATCGATTTTTTTTTGGGAGGGGGGGGGGGTGTTGAACAAGTGGATCGATGTCTTTTTTTATCATTTGAACATCAAAATTCGAAATTAATCCACCGAAAACAAGGCTTTGCCATTAAAAACAAAACCGGAAATTTAGTAAAACCACCAACATTATGTTTTGTTTGGAACTTTGGATACATAGCAACGAATAAGTCATTAACAACTCATTGTTTATGTTTATTTTTCTAATACTTTTAGTCGTTCAACCACTACAGTATTAGATACGAATATATAGTTCAATCAAATGAATATACCATAGTCTAATCACCTTTAATAATCATAAGAACATTAATCTTATGAACTACATCGATATCAGTATGTCAGTTACAGAATTATTTAAACTTTTGTCAAAAATCTAAGTAATGGTAAATTGTGAACACGAAAAAACTTTGGTCACCAATTCCTTTATGTATTTATATAATTGATTTCATCATCTTTGTTAAGTGCAGATTATCGACGATTAATGGTACACCGTACACATAAGTGTTTTATAAATCAAGTAAACAAGAAAACCAAACAATGGTCCAATGAAGGCAATGGCAGGGCACGTAAATAAGCAGCCTAAGAAAAGCGAATCGGGACCCACAACCCTGAGGGCTAGGAAAGGTGGGCCCACAGTATTTATGCAGTTGAGAAATAATGACATTATTTTCTTTTTTAAATTGTAGGGAATAGACAGGAGAGACTGAATCAAAATACTTTACAATTTTAAAATGACGGAGAGTGACGTGCATACAGCTATTCTGTGGCAGATTACTGAAAATGAAAACTTCTTAAAAGAAAAAATTATTCAGAACCAGAATTATATAATGGATGGGTAGACAAGTAATATATCCAGCATTGACATAATTTTTGATTACCGAACGATTTTTATAGCTCTATTAAAAAAATCTATAGTTAAGGTTTGGAGAAAAAATTATTTTAATCTATAGTTAAGGTTTAGAGAAAAAATATAATTTTTTAATAGAGCTATAAAATTAGAAAATTAGAGATGTGAGAAAAAAAAGACTTTTAAGGGACAGGTGGGGTAGGAGGACTTTGCGAACTTCCGAGCCTTGCGCAAGTGTACGACGTTTACATGTTTAAATAATTGCTTATACGCATCATTTGGCGCGTGTTTCACACTTCAACAAGGGTCCTTTATTAGTTATTATTTCCAAGAAAATCCAATAATAATAAAATGTATTTCTCATTTTTGTTAATTTAAAAACAATATTGATTTCACACAAATCGTAAACTGTATATATATAGTTAATTTACGATCATTGTGGGGGAAAAAGATGAATTGTACATGTTAGAAATCAAATTCAAGCTCATGATTAATAAGCTAAAAAAAAAATTTCTATTTTTGAATTTTTTATTAATCGTTGAGTGCGTATCGTCACAAAATTTGTCCAAAGTCTTCGCGAAAACGTCATTCATCATCACCAAAATAAAAATAAAAACTATGAAAACTATAAAAAGGTAGAAAACGACGTAGTATTTATTCTACTAATAATTAAAGTGTCGTCCCAATAAAGAGCAGACACAAGTGGTGAGGTTATTACGTAACGCGCAAAACCACGCGCGTGTGGTCCCACGATCCAATGACTTTCTTAACGTCCAAGTGCCGGTGGGACCCATGTTTTATGGAACCGTTTCGAAGATTTTCTTGCAGGGCTTTCTCTAATTACATTTATGTCCCTTACATCTAGCTTCAATAACAATGTTGCCACCATTTTCCCCGAAATCCAATTGCATTTTCATAATAGCTTCTAGATTAATGATATGATACAAACACTCTATGATGATTATTATATAGACAACCAATACCAGTAGTATCTTAGTGTTTTTTTCTTTCATTAAACTTTTGTCTTAGTCTCTTAGATCATAGGAAATTGTAGCCTGGAGTAAACATCATTTATGTGGTAAATGGTCAATGACAAAGTAATTTTAATTGTAACTCTGTTCAACATGGTGACTTGTAAATGACTTTTTTGGTTTGGTTTAGCTTTGATAATTTTTACTCGGATTAATTTTTGATTCTTTTTAGGCTTAGACTTATAACATTAACCCGCTTTGATTTGAAGTAAATTAACTAATTTTTAATATGACACTTGAGTTTTTTTTCCATCTAAAACAGTAGTGTTTCTAAATAAAATAGCCTTTCACTATCCCACAATTATATTCAGAAGAAAATGCTTACAAGCCGAGGAAAACAATAAAAAAATTCGATAATATATGTAGTGCGAGTGCCTCAATAATTCCTCATAATATGGTTAGGTAGTTAGAAATATTAAAGAAATTCAATATAAGTAAAAAAGAAAGAGGAAAAAGCGGTTTTGCAAAACAAAGAAGCCAATAGATTCTCTCTCTCTCTCTCTTTGTTCACTTTTCTTTCCTCAAACTTTGCTGCATTTCCTTACTTTCTCTCTCTTAAATCAGAAACAAACCTGTCCTTCTATTGCTATAAAAGTGAACTCCATTTTCCCTCAGATCTCCTCCACACCAAACCTCTCTCTCTCTTTCCCTCTCTCCTCATTTCAAAGAATCAAGAATAAGCAAAGAACAAGACCAGAAAAAATGGAGGTTTCGACGAGAAAGCCTTATTTCATAGAAGAAGAAGACGATGGATTAGCTTCTCTAGCTGAGATGGAAGCTGGGGTTTCGAGTCCTTGTTATTACAAAAACATGACGAAGATGAATCAGTACCATCCTCAGAGCTATTATTACCATAAGTACTCTGTTTCATCACCCAGATCTGTTGTTGTCCCTGGAAAATTCCACGATTTTAGACTCGACAATAGCTGTTACGGACAATCACTTCCTCATTTCTTGGACTCTTGTTTCCTCTGCAAGAAGCGTCTTGGTAATAACAGAGACATCTTCATGTACAGGTACAAACCTTTATTTCAATCTCTCAAGATTTCGAGTTCTCTATACTAGCTTAAGAAAATCGATCACTTTTAGCTTAGAGTTTCATCTTTTAGTCAATATTAGATCAAACCCTGATTATGGTTTGTTGTGAATATATAAGAAATGTTCAACAACAGATGTATTGTGTCTGATTGTAAAATGTTTTTTTGATTTGTTGGAAAACAGAGGAGACACACCGTTCTGTAGCGAAGAGTGTAGAGAAGAACAGATAAAGAGAGACGAAGCAAAGGAGAAGAAACAGAATCTGTCTTCTTCTGTGAAAGCTATGAGAAGAAATGAGAAACGAAGCTCTTCTTCTTCTCCTACTAGATCTCGTGACTATGCTTTCCATACTGGAACTGTTGCTGCTGCTTAATTCGATTCCTCTTTAATTAATATTGGAAAAAACCAAAAAAAAGAAAGAAGAGAATCCTTTAAAGCCAATTTGCTGTAAAAACTGGTTAATTTTGAATTTGAAAACTCTGGGAAACAAAAAAAAAAAATGGTAAAAGGAAAATTAAAAGTCGAAGAAATCTCTCTTTTTCAAGGGTTTGTCCTTTCTTTTGTTATATTTTTTTTTCGTTTTTCCTAGCTTTACTTTACATAAAGAAAAAAAGAACATCAATTCTGGGAGTACAAGAAAACTATGGCCTATGCGATTGCGAATTGGAAAAATGTTTTTTTATTAAATATGTGAAGAATAAAAAAAATATGTAATATGAACATCATCAGCCTGGCTCAGGCTGTTCTTTTTATTTTTGAAATGATGGGATTGTAATGAAAAAAGTACAAAATATAATTTCTCATATATAAAATGAGAATATCTTACCTGCTGTTTAATTTTCGTTAGTAAATCCAAATGTGATACACTTATGATTCGAAATAAAATTTGATCAACTAGATATGAACTCTTATTGGATGTTAAGACATCAGAAGAATTATAATATTGGTGTATTATTAAACCTCTTTTTTCTGCGCATGTTCTTTGAGATCATTTGTGCAGTACAGGTTTTTTTCTTTCTTTCTTATTTCATTTAAACAGCGGTACAATTATTAGTGCCGAAAAACAAAACAGCAGTACAAATTTTCTTTTTCGGAAATAAATATTTAAGGTGTTTAAACTTTAAATCTTCTGGTTTATAAATCACAATCGTAGGTCTTTTGCTAACCACAGATTCTTTTTCAGGAATCAGGATCATCATAATTTTTATGGTCACATTCATGGAGTCATTTCCCTAAATAAATGGAGTTAATGGGTAAATGTTATTACAACTTGGGCTTTTTCCACACAGTAAATGGTAAATCTGAACCGATGCGAACCAAACCAAACCAAAATTCAAATAAAAGCTGCTTCCTCTCCAATTGATGGAAGACAACTACTCATTTACTTCAAAGCAAAAGAAAACCCAGTATTATCTCTATCCTGGATGGGTGTGTTGATAAATTCAATATGCTCTCGTGTCACATAAACTCGGGCTGGGCAAAATATCCATTATATTTGCTTCGATCCGAAAAATTCGGATATCCGTAATTTTATGGAACAAAATAAATATTAAAATTTAATATCCATTAAAAACGGAGCAAATCACAAATACTAAAAAAAATTAAGATGAATGTCCGCTCCGCTTCAGTATAAATATATATGTATATATAGATAGATAATAATTCATATAAAGTATATAATTATTATATATAAATGTAATTTTTGTGAATTTTTTGTTTATAAATTTGATTATTATAAATATTAATACTTAATAAGTTAAGAAAAAATATTTTTTTAAAGAAAATATTGTCATTTTTAGCTAAATTTTGATTTTTAAAAATTTTATTTTAAATATTTTTATGGATCAGATCGGATATCCGGCAAATATTTAGATTTTTAGCGGTTATCCGGAAAACGGATATCCAGATAGTTACGGAGCAGATACGGATCGGAAACATTAATTATCCGGACGGAGCGGAACGGATCACGGATATCCTCAAAATCCAGAATATCCGCTCCGCGCTCAACCCTAACATAAAGACGGCCAATGACAGAGTTCATACTGAACTCTATCACCGGTTTTAGTGGCTTGATAGTCTTTTCTTGGGTTCCAAGCACCAAAAAGAGGAAGCCATTTATGCATTACTCTCGTACCTACGGAGTGATAAGGAAGATATTTATCAATATCTATAATGTCTCTCCATTTTGTTGACAAAATCACACGTAGATAGTGAACTTTAAAAGTACCGTCATGTCCAGAAGGACTACCCTCGATGGAGAAGCAGGGAAAACGAAAGAAGAAGAAAAGTTATCATCTATGCTCTAATATCTTACAATATCTTACAATAGGAATTTGATCAAGAGCAAGCAATATCTATATATTATGAAGATGTCTTTAGAATTTTACTCCAAAATGGTTCCCTTATCATTTCTAAAATGAAAATAATAAATACTAGCAAGCAAATATAATATAAATCTAGCTAGTGGAAACATTTCATCTAACAACTGCATAATTTCGCTACTATCAACGATATTTTGAGATGGCGTATTAATGATTAACTTACAACTTATAATCAATAAATAGTCTCGTTAGTGTTTGATATGTATTCGACACAAACAGTGCACAACACATACTCAATCAAGTCATTTTTTTCTCATTCGTCTCACTTAATCTTTTTCTCATTCGTCTCTCTTAATCGATCTTACTGATTAGCAGTGATTATATAATTTGTTGCTAGACAATGATCATATATAGTGATTAGAAAATTCTCATTGATCTCTCTTGGTCGATCTCAGTGGCAGAGAAAAGGCAGAGAAAAGCATAATTAGTACTTCTCATATCTCCTCTTATGCTCTAATGACCCCTCTAGCTCCTAGATTCTCTTACACTACTTCTCATATCTCCGGAATCTGATTCCTCAATGATCTTCCTAAGACCTTCAACGACAAAGGCCATGGTGGGTCTCTCTTTATCGTTCTTCTTCAGACAATGATCAGCCAGTTTCGCCACTCTCCTAACCATAGCAACAGGATACTTGCTTCGTAGCTTCGGGTCAACGATCATTCTAAAGCTTTTGCTATGAACAGGATATAGTTTGACCCAATCTAGAAGAATCTTTTCAGCCAAAGGTTTCATCCGCTCGATTGTGCGACGACCAGTGATGATCTCGTACAAAACAACTCCAAAGCTATAGACATCGCTTTGTCTCCTGAGATGGCCGGTTTCTACGTATTCCGGAGCTGCATACCCGTTTGTTCCGACTCTCTTTTAAAGAGAACCAAGGAAAAACGAAGAAGAGGAAGTTGTTACGTGTGGAAGAAGCAACTAAGAATATATATCGAATTTGTAAGCGAGAATACGAGAAATGTTACTTACTGCGGTTGTAACGTGAGTGTTGTCTCCTTCAGGACCTTCTCTAGCGAGACCAAAGTCCGATAATTTCGGATTAAAGTCATCGTCCAAAAGCACGTTTGATGATTTGAAATCTCTGTATATCACCTGCCAACAAAAACATATACATATGTATCTAGTTAGTTAATGAGTAATCTCATTCGGTTTGGTTTAGAAAACCAGATTTTTGTTTGTTGATTCAAAAATAACCTGGATTTCATGCAAATAAGCCAATCCTTGAGCTGCACCGAGCATGATCTCAAGTCTTTGTTTCCACGACAACGTTGCGGTTCTTGATGTGAAGAGATGATCCTCTAAGCTGAGGTTTGACATCAACTCGTAAACCAATAGCCTCTCTGTGTCCTCTGCGCAATATCCTAAGAGCCTCACTACGTTGGGGTGATTCACTACGCCCAATAACTGAACTTCTGCTAGCCATTGCTTGTGCCCCTTTGATTACAAACAGAGGATCAATACTAAACTCTTTTCTCTACATTATACAACAAACAAACAAAAATCCAAAACTTTATACGTAATTTCCAGAGTCTTGCTTAGTTGATCAAAATTGTGGAAACTTATTCTTGGTTAAAGTTATAATCTTTTTGCAATTCTTTCACACAAAAACAAAACTTTGATTAACTTAAAGTTACCTGTTGACTTTGTCGATTGAGTTTCTTAACGGCGACGGTAAGTGGAGGAGAATGAGAATCTCCTCCGGTGGGATTATCAATGGTGGCTTTGTAAACACTACCAAAACCACCTTCTCCGATCTTAAGTATTCTGTCAAACCCACACGTGGCGTCACTGAGTTCCTTGTAAGAGAAAACCCTAAGATTCTGATTTTGTTCTATCTCAGTGTATAAGTCTCTTATACTCGTTGGAGATGGAAGAGATCTTGGTGTTGGGAGATTAAACGAAAGCGACGTCGTCTGGTTCCTCCTTGTCGTGGTCGTTAATTCTGGAGCTGAGTTTTGTAATAGATCTCTTCCTCTAATGTTTTTGTTGTTTTCTTTCTGGAGATTTCTTCTGGATTTAGGTTTCTTCGACTTGAACATGAACAGACAACTCATGTTTCCTCTGTTTAATAGTGTATTGAAGATTTGGGTGGTGAGTTTAATTATTGTGTAAATCTTAAACCTCTTATATACAAATATAAAGCATTCAAAATGAATTTCAAGGAAAATTTAAGGAGGAAGACAAGAAAGTCAGATGCGATGAATGAAAGAGTGGGACTTTTTTTTGTTTCCAAAAAAAGGGAAGATTTTGATTTCTGAGAAAGGTAGGTGATAATATATATGAAAAGACCCTAAAATGGGTTTTGTTACAGATGAGTCACAATTAGTGGGAGATTAGATGGGTACGTATGAACACAAGAAAGAAATGAGAAAAGGAAAAGCGAGAGAGAGAGTTAAGTAAAAGACAGAAACTTTTCTATCTATAGAAACACACGTAAATGGACAGAACGTGAACGATATTGCTTTATAAGTTTTAAGAGGTTTTGATTAAAAAAAATGAAAGAGAAAAAGAAATCGGCTAACTATGGTCTAAGGAAACAGACATAGAAAAGTAAAAGGCAAGAGTCAAGACCAGAATTATTTCATATTTGACTTAACCAAGACCAAACCAATATCTGTAAGGAGACAGAGAGACCAAACCAAACCCATAATTGTCTTTGCCTATGTTTGTTCATTCTTTTATTGGCAAAAACTTACTACAAGTCTACAAATGAGTCATTTTGCGTTTACACAATAAAAAATGGTTTTTTTCTTTTTATATACCGTACAAAATTTTAATTAATTAAGGGAATGAAAATTCCACCTAGTATAATTCCAATTCAAAAAGCAGGAAAGTAGATATAGTAGTATGACTGTATGAGTACCAAAGCTCATGAAAACCAAATTGAAAGTGTGCTAAGTCAAGTCAATGCTCAATGTATTTATTGGATTGGGTTATTGATAGGATACTCAAGTCATAGTTATTGCACAGTTGCTGAAAGTCAACTTACTCAGTTTTTAAACTAATCATCATCTTGATGCAACTTCGAATTTCGGTAGATACATATTATAATGTTTTATTTTTATTCTTTGATATATTTTGTTATTATTTTGTTTTAAGAAAACCCAATACACACGGACCGCCTCTATTTATTTCAGTCAGCTTGAAAAAAAATGTGGGAGAAATATCATCAAAGTTTTGACTTTAAAGAGATGATTTTTTGACAATTTGGGAAAATGATGAAGAAAGGTTAAAACCGCGTCTCCACTTCCGTTCCTTAGTTTTCTTCTTCTCCTCCGACAAAATGCATCAGCCTATTTACTCCTCCAATTATGAAAATATGACCCCACAACAAACAAATTATTCTCCATCCGTTACGTTTTATAAATTTTTCATATAGATCTATAGAAATATACTACATTTTCTACAATGCTTTTCACCAATACCCCATTTTCAATTAAAACTAGTTAACAAGGATAAGCAACAATTTTAGTTAAAGATTTATTTCTCACTTTTAAAATTGATTATGAAATGGAAAAATTCTTGAATTTTTTGTTGTCTAACATTAAGAACAAACAATTATTTTAGAACGACATGAGGCCGAGACATCTCTAAGAAACTAACACACCGCACAAAGAAAACATTTCTTTGTTTGAGTTCAATGGTGGGTTATGACTACATTTTGACTTGACTTACAGTTAATGATTCCCCTTTAAAAATGTTCAATTTCCAAACCTTTTAGACTTTTCCATCTAATTGAATTCTCCTCTACTTTTTCTTATGAACAAGTTACGTCAGCATATGTGACGTCATTGTCAAAATCTACACTAAAATGAGCTGTTTGAATATAGAAAAAGTACTCCCAAAGAGAGAAATGGATGTGTTTATTTTCAGCTTTTACATTAAAGAAACATCTAATGTGTTGATCATCTGATGCAAAAGCATTCATATATGGAAAAATAAAAATAAAACAAGCTAAATGCGTAATCGATCTGTAGCAAACAAGATGATATAAACTAACCTCCTGTTGTTACTTCCCATTCTATATATTATGTCTCAAGCTCTTTGCTCATAAGCGTTTTCATCTACTCGAACTCCTGGACCATACACTAGTCGGCATCGGTCACTAAATGCCCCCATTAGTCTTGTTGCTACTTCCTTTAAGAACATCGAAGCCACCTTCAAGAAAAAATAAGATACATTTTCAAGGTTTTACTATAATCAAGATTCACCATCTGAATAACAAATTAAGATATCTCCATCTTTTTTCTTGAACATATCTTTGATTCATACTAACAAATTCCAAGTTTAAATCTTTAGAGGGCGAAAGGAACAATAATTTTCTAGTAAATTTCTTCGAGTATTAACAACTTCCAAGTCTCAATCTTTCCAATTTTTTGTCGATTTCTATGATTAGTTAGTAACACTTTTGACACCTACAAGTGCAGAGGCTTTGTGAAGAAGTTTGTACCTGGCGATAGAGAGGTGAGTTGAATTTGAAATCGACATGGATAGAAAGGTCGCAGGTTCCTGGAATGGGACCTGGCTTAAATTGCCAGAGGTTTATCAAATGGTCAAATAGGCCGGTGTCCCTCGCTGTTGTCTGTGAAAAGATAGAATTCAAATCATTACATCTCACACACTCAAATCCAACAAAACAGAAAGCTGAAAGAAACACAGAGAAACCAAAAGTCCTTACCTTTATCCATTTAGGCCTTTCGAATTCTACATGTGAAGTGTAACTCTCAACAAGAAACTTGAAACCAATCTCCAATTCTGCATCGAATGAACCGTCTGGATATTCTTTAAGAACCTCGGAGCGTTGACACCAAGGAACAAACCCGTGGTACAAGTCTACAGCTATAACTACATTAAACAATTGCTCTGGAGAATACCTGTAATAATAAGAAGAAAGAAAAAAGATTGAGAATTTTATTCTTCTTTGAGGAGACACTTTGGATTCTCAATGTAGCAAACAAACAAAAAGGATCAAGGATTCGTCTACATTCATACAAACATGTTGACACAGAAAAATCATATAAAAATTCACAGTGAACACACAACTTCTGTCTAAACCAGCCGATTTTACACTAATAAATTATTCAGATTATCATCTCAGCAATCATCTTCCTGGAAAATTAGTTCACAGTTGATCGGATACAATTATACAAACACGACAAACACAAAGGCAATCAATTACTTTAGGTGCTAATTAGATCACTGAACCATTCTTCATCTGTTTTGATCCACAAAAAACAGTAAATTTCAAAAGGCAACAAAACAGCAGAATGGCGCAATGAGCCATTTCTCAAGGTTGCGACATTTCAGATGCATTTGGAGGATGCGAAGGCAGACGCAGACAGCTATTGAAAGAACGCAAAATCTATACAGGAATTAATCCGAAACTAGATCAAAAGGGTTTAATGTAATTACCCCAAGACACGTCGCTCTTCGTAGATCTTGGATAACTCACCACCACCTTCTTCTCCGTCTCCGCAACCCAGAAAATGCCGTCTCTGAAAGACGCTTCCACTGCCGAGCAATCTCCCGAATGAGATTCTTCTAGCATCGTAATTGGATACCGACCCATAAGAAGAGCATCTATCGACGCCGGAAAGAGAACCAAATCGACGAAATTGATTCGATATAAAACTCCTCTGAGCGATCCCGGCACGACTGATCGGGTTCCTGATTGCGCTTCGACATGAAATTAAGGAATATACAGCTCTGGAGGCAGGCATAAACGGTGGCATTATTACACAACGCGCGAAAATTCTACAAACGCCCGATTTCAAAGGAGATCCAAAACAAAAACGGACGAGTTGTCTCGGAGATTTTAGGGTTGCAGACGACGAAAGGCTAAAACTTTCCGATTCGGAACAAATTCGATTGGATGCTGTATAAGGAAGAAATCAAACGAAAGGTCCTCTTCTTCACCAAGCAAAGAGAAAGAGAGATATACGTAATCTAGAGCGCTATATGCTCGCAGGAACACACACATACACACCTATACAAAATTAAAAAATTTGACAAAGCTTTCTTTGGTCAGTGACTCACTTGGTCATAGAAAGCGACAGCTCGATGGATTTTTGGGTTTCGTAGAGCTATGAATCCAATTCGGGCCCAATGGGCTATTTTATGGAAACATTGTTGGTCGAGCGGAGCTACAAGCAATTTGAGTAATGGGAAAAAAGAATTTAGAAAGAAAACAATAAGGAAAGTATTACAGTTCTTAATATGGGATTTTTACTTCACCAATCCATGCTGCTAAATGTATTCTAAACCCTAAGGACACAACACAAAATGAGAGAGAGATTAACTAGTTTCATCCTCGTGATACAAATATGCCTTCTTTTTTGCTTTGCTTTGTTTTGTTTACACGTCTCCAGCTTTCTCAAAAGCCGTGATGCTCTTGAATCCGGTTTATGGGGATATAATCTTCTTTCTTCTTTTCTTCACGGCTTGTGTAACTTGAACCCAAACACTCTTGGAACGTAGCTTTGGGCTGCCTTTTGTGGCTTCAGATGTCCATACGTCATCAGGAACAGATGTGGAAATGTTGTCCCAAAGTAAGCTCCATCTATGTCTGTTTTTTTTGTTTGTGTTTAAAGAACAACAAACCACAAAGATTGCAGCAACAACACAGCATAATAGGAATATCGAATGAGAATCAACGAAAAACCAGACTAAACTAGACATTTTATTAAGCATGCATGTGAATAAAAGTGAGATGTTAGTGAAAATAAAAGGATACTTCCTTGGTATTTCGATCGTGGGTAATAGACGTCTTCACATTTGGGGCAATATATCTTTACGGTGCTTGCTCGAGGGATGTCAGATTGACCAACCGGTAAACAAGGTTGGCCACAACAATAAACTCTGGGGCATCTTCCAAAGTCATAGTTTTTGTATTTGTCTAGCTGCAAAATCATTGGGTCAAAGACACCAACAATTAGTGTATGTTCTACAAGATTTGTTCAATATGCAACTTCGAGTAAAAAGTTTCTTTACCATAGAAGCCAGCCCTTTGCTTGTCAATATGTAGCGAGCATGAATCATTCCATATAGCATCTCTGCTGCTGACTCGATCAATTCATTTTGTTCCTCTGTAAACATCTCACCTGTTACCCGAGCAATCAAGATCAACTATTGAAGACACGAAACAAAAACACGAACCAGTTTTCGGCTAATACTATTATCCCTTACTACCACAAAAACACGCAATCACATAGTTTATTTTCGTTGGTAAGACTTACCGTGAGAAGATTCAACATCCAGGATCAAATCAAGGGCATAATCGTAGTAGGGAACTTGATGGCTGAGTCCACACAAGTTAAAGTCATCCTGGATGTAATCATCATCAACTTCGCAGAAGAACTCGTTCCCACGAAGGTTGCAGAACCAGGATATCCACGAGGTGTCCTCTCCATCAGAACCACTCACCTCTGATTCTTCGCTGTCCGTCTCTGATATATCTACAGCTAAATACAACCACAAATGACATTTTCATCAGCATCATCCTCATAACAACAGTTTTTCAAAACAAAATAAGCAAGATTTGCTCGAATCAGGAACACAACCTGCGTCTAAGATCAAGTTTCTAGCTTTCATACATTTGATTACATGAAATGAACAATTAATTGAACTCTTCAATCACAAACAACAATAGGTCAAGACGAGTAACAAATATACAAAATTTAACTCTATGTCAAACAAAGAGTTTCAGGATAAGAAAATTTCCAAGAATCCCAAATTCAGAAACGTGGCAAACCCTAGGTACGGAATCGAATCGAATTGAATCGAATCGAACAATCCGTAATTAGGAAAATATACAGAAAGAGCGATAGAGGCAAAAATACGAATCTCACCGTCGGAAATGGTAGTCTTGGAGAGAGAAGCAGAACGTGAATCCCGATTGTTGTGGTCATGCAGCTGCTTCCCTATCAAGACGGAGTTGGATGCTGCCTTGCCCTTTCCATTGACGGGCTGAGACATCGAATGCGAGGCTCGATTATCGTGAACCTCGTTTATCCGTTTCCGATCGACCACCTCCGACTTCGATCCAGCCGTTCCCCTCTCTCTATACATGATGGAAATCTCTTTCTCGAACGCTGGAAAATTATATAACTTCCGGGACCGTCACCGGAGATTCACCCCGGTGAATCCAAAAACGACGAGAGGCGTATCAGGAGAGGTAAAGCTGCGAATCTCTAGGGTTTTGAAACGGAGCTTCCCGTCTCGCGTAAATCTATTTCACAAGTAGTCTCTTGGTGGTATACACAGCTTTTTTTTTTTTTGTTCTTTCGCTTGGATATTTTTTTTTTGGGTATAGGTAAGAAAGAATAAAAGAAAGGGAAGGGTAAAACGGGAAAAGAGAAATAAAATTAGGTTCTCCGGTAAAGCAATGATTCGTCAGCCACCGAGAGAGAGAGAGAAAGAGAGACACGTGACGCTCACGTGGTAAGACTATATAAGGCTTGGACCGAGTTCATTTCGTTTCTGGAAGAACAACAGCTTTAAACAAAAACTGAAATCTTGAAATGCAATTTTCATTGTTTGGCATTGTTACATAAGTTAACAAGAGGAATCAAAAATCAAAACCTTTATTTAAAAGAAAATTTGATTTTGAATCCTAAGTGATATAAATTTATAAGACTCGATTAAAGAAGACACAGTTACTGAAGTGGTGGTGATGGAGGATGTTGAAGAAGGTAAACATGATTGGTGATGGCGTCAGGACAAGACTGAGCTTGAAGAAGCTCAAGCCTCATGAAAGGGTGCACGAACTGAAGTGTGTAATCTTCGTCTGCAAAAATCACATTTTTGTTCGGAAAATTATATATTAAGTTTAAACAAAATGCAGAGAGACAAAAAATAGAAGAATATCGGAGCTTACTCTCTTTAACAGTGCCGTATAGCCAGCAAAGAACCTCATCAGCAAATGCCAAGCAGACTCCTCCCTAGTTACCAATACGCAATTGTGTTTAGTTTCAACAAGATTTGGATCAATAGAGATTCTATCTTCATTCTGTCATTATATAAAGAGTTTTAAGTGATGTAACACCGACCTGCCAATAGTTTTTCAATCTGGCTCTGTGCGCGATATCTTTTGTTTTCAATCTCTCTGTGCGTACTAGTCTCCCTGCATCATCTCTACACCAAGTAGAGAAAAGAGAAATGGAATCGTTTAGCTTGAATCTCGATAGGATTAAAGTTTATCTGCAAAATCTTTGATCTGCAATCTTCTCGACGGTTTTTACCTGAATCCAACAAGAATGTATGGGACTCCCGCAACGAATGATTGTATCTGCAGCATGTTAAACCAGTTTTTCCACAGTTAATTTTTCTAAGGCTCCACAAGAAAGGAGATAGAGAAGAGGATGTATGTAACTCGTGAGACATCATACGTACCCAGAATTTAAGCAGTTTCTCTCTCTCAAATCTCTCTACAGTACGATCATCCAACTGAAGAGCAAACAATAGGGAGTTTCAGTGGAAAAACAGAAGCTGAAATAACAGTGGAAGGAAAACTATAGCAATGAAGAGGCATACCTCGCGAGAAGTTTTCAACTCTATATACATCCTCAATCCTTCGTCAGTTTCGTCGCAGCAATCCATTTCAGCACCCATCAGAACACGGTGAGCTCCGAGTTTGGTCTTGATAACAGAACAAAATTCAACATTCGCATCCACATGACTTATTTCTTCCCCATAAGCTCTTCCTGGATCTTCTGTCGCAAGGCTTTCGAAACAATAACCCCAGTAACATCTGATGGAAATATAGCATCAGATACTTTAGCAGCAAAAAATGCAATGTTATAACACTCTTCTGACCAAATTTTTCCGAAATATTACTTCCTACTTAACCCTATCTTCTAAGTAAAACTCTAGCGCCACTAAGCTCACCCTTCTTTACCCAAAACAATAAAAACGAATATTACCTGCGGCGATCTAATTCACTCTGTGGCCTTTCAGGCAGTTTGTGCACATCCAGATATATGGTTCCATTCCTCTTATGCACACCCATTTCCCACGGTTCATGCCGATTGTAAGCAGCACCCAGTATCTGAAAGAAATAAAACAAAGCACAGCGATAGATTTATCAAACAGAACTATGCATTTGTCATTTCTTATTCAGTAATATACCAAAAAACAATAAATCAAATTGAGCCTACTTGCTTCGAAAAAAAAGCAAATACATGTTGGGATCTTACTAACCTTGTTTAGATTGTTACGGAATGTCTGTCCAAAAAAAAAGGCACAAAAAGACAACTTTGAGATAATCTCTTCAAAGTAATAAAATTGGCAGTGAAACGGAATGATACACACAAACACTACATACCACAAAATGAATGTTCTCTAAAGAAATGTTTCTTGCTCTAATGCTGCCAAGAAGGTCACCAAAGCCTTCAGAGCCCAGATCTGCCTCAAAAGAGTTAAAAATGAGCTGAATTCCTCAAACTTCTACATCTTGCCCATGCACTAATAGTTCCCACTATACCATGAATTCCTCAAACTTCATTACCTCTTTTCTCAATAAAAGTATCATAACCTTGATTCAAATCCGCCCCAATCTCTTCAGAAACAAGACGCTTAAAAAGCCTCTGGAAACCAAGAGCAAAGAGTAGATACACATAAGATGTGGATGATTTTATATATATTTACATATGTATGTTCCTGCGACTTGCGTACATATATAAATACTCCAATCCAAAGGATACAACAATACCAAAAGCTCTCACCAATCCTCGATCATCAAAGAACACTTCTCCACCTTCTACACGACTGTAGCTAGCAAGCTCACATGGCTGTTAAACAATCCAAGCATATTGAACCGTGTTACCATATCGATAAATAACAAGAGGAATCTGCCTTTAATAACTTAAGAAGCTAAAATCAGTTTTCCTTAGATAAATGTTACCTCCTGAAAGTTGGTATGTATCCTAGCCAACGTTTCTTTGCTTTTTGAAAGTTTAAGCTCAGAAACAAAACGCTCATCACGCTGATAACTCTGGTATCTCCCTCCAAAACCACCACGACCACCACGTCCTCCAGGGTAAGGCCCAGGCCGAGGAAGAAGTCCAGGTCCTCCTCTCCCATTTGGCCAACGACCACGTCCTATTCCTCTCTGGTTCTCATTGCTCCATCCCGCAGGCAAAACTGTCATATTTCATATCAGCGAATAAACTTTGTAGCCAGAGAAAAAACCCAAAAGCCGAATGAAATCAATTCAGAAGCAGAACAATGAAAATATAAATCTCAAAAAAAAACTCCAACTTACCTGGAATTGAGTAAGTGCTGATAGCAGGTGTCCTAGTGTACTCTTCATTATCAGACCCAAAAAGATCCTTCTCTTCTTCTTCCTCTTCTTCCTCGTCATAAGCATAAATCGCACTTTCTCCATTGTCGTTGCTCCTATAGCTCTCTACTCTATCATCTCCATGCTCCTCTTTCCCGCCGCTGCTTCCGCTATCGCTTGAGTTGCTAGAATCCGCACCACCACCGTCTCCATCTCCATCTCCATCTCCGCCTTTAGACGAGGAAGCCCCCGAGGACGAAGATGAACCAGACGAGGAGGAGGAGGAAGAAGAAGCATTACCGGAAGAAGACGATTTCGAACGCGAAGAACGAGAGTCGTTATCGGAATCTTCTCCGAACAAATCATCCATAGGATTTTTCATCGGCGGTAAATCCATGACCAAAAAAAAAGGTTTTGGTTTTGGTTTTAGGTTTCTCCTTCCGTTGAAGAGCTTCCGATCGAATAAAGGCTCGGAATCGCGAATTAGACCCAGCGAGTTCACGAGTTAACTCGGTTTTTGCTGACTCTACTGAGCATGGGCTTTCAAAAAAACGAATCAGGCCCATTTATCGTTTTCTCTAATTTATAAAAGGCCCATTGTTATAGGAACCTAACTAGTCTTGGCAAACAAATTTGTTGATCGTCTTCTTCTCCCTGCACGCACTGCACGCCATGGCCACCGCAGACGAATTGGCTCCGTCTCACAGGTCACATAAACCAAGAAAATCAGGTCCTTCTTACATGAAAAAGAATCCAAAAACCGATAACAAGATGGTGAAGCAGCAAAACCCTAAGGCGTTTGGTGTTAACTCTGCTATGAAGGCGAAGCGTAATCAAGCTCGCTCTATGGAGAAGGAGCAGCGACGAATTCATCTTCCTACGATAGATCGTACTTACGGAGAATCTCCTCCTTACGTAGTGGTGGTTCAAGGCCCACCAGCGGTTGGAAAATCCCTAGTGATCAAGTCCCTTGTGAAGCACGTCACGCACCAGAACCTACCCGAGGTTAGAGGACCTATCACCATTGTAACAGGTAAGGATAAAAGAATACAGATCGTGGAGTGCCCTAATGATATCAACGCGATGGTGGATTTAGCCAAAGTCGCTGATCTAGCTTTACTTGTCATAGACGGAAGCTATGGTTTTGAGTTGGAGACTTTTGAGTTTCTAAATATTATGCAAGTTCATGGCTTTCCTAAAGTTATGGGAGTGCTCACTCACCTTGACGAGTTAAAGGATGTGAAGAAGCTGAGGCAAACAAAGCAGCGTCTCACGCGTCGGTTTTGCACAGAGACATACAATGGAGCTACTCTGGTTTATCTACATGGTCTCATTCATGGCAAGTACTATTCGCAGCGTGAGACTCTCAACCTCTTCCGGTTTATCACGAAATCTATCAAGATTCCTCCTTTGACATGGCGAGCAACGCATCCGTATCTGTTGTCTGATCGTTTGGAAGATGTTACGCCTCCGGAGAGAGTTGAGATGGATAAGAAATGCGATAGGAACATCACGTTGTACGGTTACTTGCGTGGATGTAACTTGAAACGAGGCATGAAGGTTCATATAGCTGGAGTTGGTGACTACAGTTTAGCTGGTGTGAGTGTTTTGCCTGATCCTTGTCCTTTACCATCAGGTTTAGGTGGCAAGAAGAAGGGGCTGAGGGAAAAAGACAAGCTTTTCTATGCTCCCATGTCAGGGATTGGAGATCTTGTGTATGACAAAGATGCGGTTTACATCGACATTAATGATCACCTAGCTCAGTACTCTAAAACTGATGATGGAAAAAGCAGAGGAGATGTTGGTGTAGATTTGGTAAAGTCGTTGCAGAACACAAAACATTGTGTCGATGAGAAATTGGAAAAGAGTTTTGTTGATTTGTTTGGCAGGAAGACTAGTACTGCAAGTTCAGAAAAAAAAACTCGAGTCTGAAAGTTCTGAGATCCATGGTGGAAGGTTGAGGAGGAAAGCTCTCTTCAGAGATGAATTTGAAGATGGTGAAGATGAATTTGCAGGGGGTTATCAAATAGATGATAACACATCAAAATGGAAACAAGGGTTGAAGAAGGATATTAGAAAGAAGAAGCTAAACTTGGAGCAAATTGTGTATGGAGCATCAGCTACTTCCTTGATAAATGAAGACCATGAAAGTAGTGATGATGATGATGAAGACTTCTTTAAACCAAAAGGAGAAGAAAGCAAGAAATTAGGTAGTGGATTGGATGTGTGTAATGCCAACTCAGAGTATTCTTCCAAGTTTGTGGGCTCTGGAATTCTGAAGAACTGGAAAGAGAAACAAGTCTGTGAGAGCATTCGTGATCGATTTACCACTGGTGATTGGTCAAAAGCTGGTCTGAGAAATCAGAATGATGAACTTTATGGTGATTTTGAGGATCTTGAGACAGGAGAAAACCATAGCAGCCATCACAATACAGAGCCGGGTGCTGAAGAAGTCGAGCGTGGGCTAAAAAAGCTGGCTCTAAGAGCAAAGTTTGATGAAGAAACCAATAACGATGACAATGGGAACAACCCTCGTAATAGCCAGGCCAAGGAACCAGCTGGATACTTTGAAAAATTGAAGGAGGAGCTTGAGATTAGAAAACAGATGAACTTGTTAGCACTCAATGAACTTGACGAGGATACTCGGATTGAGGTAGAAGGATTCAGGACTGGAACATACTTGCGGCTGGAGATTCACAATGTTCCTTATGAGATGGTTGAGTTCTTTGATCCTTGTCATCCAGTTCTTGTTGGAGGTATTGGTTTCGGCGAGGACAATGCTGGATACATGCAGGTAAGACTCTAGAACTGTAACGACCATTTTCTCTGTTCTGATCTTGAAGAAAGTTTCTTTTTTTCATATTTAAAACATGTTTTCTTGTACCTTAGGCCCGGTTAAAGAAACATAGGTGGCACAAGAAAGTACTTAAGACGAGAGATCCCCTTGTTGTGTCTATCGGATGGAGACGCTATCAGACGCTTCCTGTATACGCCACTGAAGATCCCAACGGCAAACAACGAATGCTCAAGTATACTCCACAACACATGCATTGCCTTGCTATGCTCTGGGGTCCTCTTGTCCCACCCAAAACCGGCTTTGTCGCTTTCCAGAACCTGTCAAACAATCAGGTATGAGAATTCTTGAGATCATTATTCAAGTCTATGTGTTTTTGAACTTTTATGATTGAGAGAATCTATATTTGGTAAAGTGAAGTGCATCTTCATGAAATGGGTACTGTCATGAGTTTAACATCCATACTAACTGTGCGTTGAAAACTGAAACTTGCATGTGTTGACAAAAGAAAAGTTGCTTAATTCTCTGTTGTGTTCCTCTCCCACTGAGTAGGTCTACCTGGTGTGTGGTTCAGGCAGGAATTAGGATAGCAGCGACTGGTGTGGTTCTCGAGTTTAATTACCAAACTCGTATTGACAAGAAAATCAAGCTGGTCGGACACCCTTGCAAGATCAAGAAAAAGACTGCATTTATCAGAGACATGTTCACTTCTGACCTTGAAATAGCTCGGTATGAAGGTTCAGCTGTCCAGACAGTTAGTGGCATCAGAGGACAATTGAAAAAGGTATGCTTTTGATCTTGTTCTTTATTCCTAGTCCTCCCATTACCTCAAGCTTATTACAAAATCCATTTGTCAGGCTGCAAAAAAACATGCTTGATAACCAGGTCCAAGAAGGAGGGATTGCGAGGTGTACCTTTGAAGATCAAATAAAAATGAGCGACATCGTCTTCTTAAAGGCTTGGACCAAAGTGGAAGTTCCACAGTTTTACAATCCTCTAACCACGGCATTGCAACCCCGGGATAAGACCTGGCAAGGGATGAAAACACTTGGCCAGCTTCGTAGAGAGCAAAACATTCCTGTTCCTTTGAACAAGGATTCACTTTACAAGCCAATCGAAAGGAAGTGTAAGAAGTTTAATCCTTTGGTGGTGCCAAGGAGCCTACAAGCAGCTCTACCGTTTGAATCCAAACCCAAAGACATACCAGTGAGGAAAAGACCGTCACTAGAGGCTAAAAGAGCTGTTGTGATGGAACCGAAAGAACGAAAAGCTCTTGCTATCCTCCAGCATTTTCGCCTGATGAATAAAGACAAGATGAAGAAAAGAAAAGTAAAGGAGCAGCTGAAGAAGATGCTGTATGAGGCAGAGAAAACTAAGAATGAGGAAATGTCTAAGAAACGGAAGAGAGAGGAGATCCATGAGAGGTACCGTACTGAGAATCAACAGAAAAAGAAGATGAGAAGAAGCCGAGACTAGTATAATACATTATGATTCCAGGTTTTGTTTTACAGTAAATGATTCCAGTTTTGTTGTGATCTTAGATTCTCGGAAAAAGAAAAAGAGTAACCTTTGTTTTGCATAATTATGAAACAGAATTGGTTTTGAGTTTATAATAAATGGGTGGGATAAATAAATACAATCATACTATACCAACTAGTTTCCTGAAGGCTTTGACATGCTCAACCCTCTGAGCTTGAGCCTCTGTTACAGCATCAGATGCTTTCAAGGTTCTGTATAGATATTTAACATCTTACAACAAAAAAAAAGAAAAAAAAAGTTTCTGTATAGATTCTTATGAAGCTTAAGATACTCCTTCTTATACATAGTTAGATCACTATACATACCCTTATTATACATCAGATGATTTTCGAATTCAGTTCACAATCTATTGTTATAATAAAAAAAGGTTTTAACTGCTGGGATTTTTACAATTTTATTCATAAACACACAACTTTAATACCATCATCAATGTATCTATTGAATTCTTAAATTTGTTATAATGGAGATTATTTGATGGATTTTCTAAACTACAGTTTAAACTCTTTTCAAATTGAACAAGTCTCGAAATCGAAGCAATTCTCTATCAAAATCCAACTTAACTACCAACCCTATTAATATTAGAGAATATCAAAAATATATAGTTTCATTTTTCGGTGAGAGATTTTATGCAAATCTTGAGAATCAAGCCCACATTTAAATTACTAGTACATTGAAAAGGTTGTCCCTCGTGTTTTTATGTGCTAAGAGTCTTCTTTAGGCTGGATCCTAAAACTTGTCTTTGTTGCTGAACCAAAGTAAGTTAATTGTCTTTTATGCTTATTATATCATTGTTTAATGCTTGTTATATGCTGTTCTAATAAGGTTGTTGTTCCAGAGTGGCATTCACCTGTTTTGTAGGAATCACCATTTGCTGCCTTTGTTTTGCTGTTGCATAAAAATTTGCAAAGCGTAAATTCTACTTTTACATTGGCGGAATAATGTCTTCCTTCATTGTTATCTTCTTTTGGCTCTTGATTTCATCATCATCGATTCCAGCATTCGAAGAGGTAATACAAAACCTAAGAAACACTGATAATGTATTGTGTTAATTAGAACAAACAAACCATTTGGTGACTAAAAGTCTACTGCAGTTACTTAGTGTGCTTTTCCTCTTGGTAACGTCTCTACTCTAATCATTGTTTTTGTCTATTTATTTGCCTAATTTTAGCACTTTTGAAATCATGTAGTCGCTTGGTGATCTCATTGCTAAAGATATGATATTGATTGAACTGAAATTTTCAATACGTGAATTTATTATTGTATTTCATAAAAATATTTTACGTTTCCAAAATAATAAAACTGGTGATGAAAGTATGTATATTTAATTAGTTGGTACCAAGTTTGGATTTATGTAATCCTAATAATAAATATTATTTATAAGAAGATATATCAAATTATATAGTTGAATAGTAAAGAAGTATATGCATGTTATATTTTAATAGGAGGGATTTTTTTCATAACTAATCTCAATACCGACTTCAATTTTGTCAGCTTTTTCTGATTTCAATGAAGTCCAATGAACAAATGTCTAAATACGAATTAAACTTATTCAAAATGGATAAATGTCTCTTGCAAATGTAACATCTTTCAGAGCAGCTGAAGAGGAAACTGTACGAGCCAGAGAAAGCTAAGAATGAAGAAATGTCTAAGAAACGGAGGAGAGAGGAGATCCATGAGAGATACCGTATTGAAGATCAACAGAAAAAGAAGGTGAGAAGAAGCCAAGGCTATTATAATACATTATGATTCCAGGTTTTGTTTTACAGTAAAATATTCCAGATTTGTTTTGATCTTAGATTCTCGAAAAAAGAAGTAACCTTTGTTTTGCATAATTATGACACATAATTGGTTTTGAATTTATAATACAAGGGAGGGATAAATAAATACAATCATACTATACCAACTAGTTTCCTGAAGGCCTTGACGTGCTCAACCCTCTGGGCTTGAGCCTCTGTTACAGCATCAGATGCTTTCAAGGTTCTATATAGATTCTTATGAAGCTTAAGATACTCATTCTTATACATAGTTAGATCACTATACATATCCTTGTCCTTCATATAATTGATAACCTCCATCACTCTCTCAAAATACCCACCTCTGAGAAAGTTCACCACAAGCTTCTCTAGCAGATCTTGTGTTACCTCTAAGTTCCTGCTCGCCATGTTCCTTTTGATATCCCCCCACACGACTGTGATTTCCCGGTACATGCCAAGAGATGAATACATGTCGATCAAGATCCAAAAACTCTGGCGAGTTGGTGGGATTTTCATCTTCTGGATTTTCCTGTAGGTTAACACGGCATCTCCTTCCATTTTTGCTTTGCAGAAGTAGTAGAGGGACGAGTTTAGCTCGTAGATCATTCTTGGAACTTTCATTTGTTCTCCTGCATTGATTTCTTGAACCAAGAGTGCCCTGAGCTCTGTGTTTTCACTGTCTTTCTCTTCGGTTTCTGGTAAAACCATAATCTCGTTTGATGGGTCTGTAACTAGTCCGGCTTTCGTCATTTGTTTCAGAAGAACTTCGGCATTTCTCAACATCTTACTCTTGTAATAACCCGACAAGACCTTCCTATATGTCGCCAGTTCCATGGGATGGCCAGCAGAATCCGTGTCGTCAAGAATATCATGAGCAGCTTCTAACCAACCAATACCAACACAAGCATCAATCACATCAGCACATAAATTAGATCTACCAGCCGAAAACAAAAGCTTTGATAGCTCGGGAAGATTATCACGTTTCTTGTACCCATAAACTAACTTCGCAAGAGCCTTGTTTGTGATACCAAGCTTGGAATTTGAATAACTGAAAAAAGTTGCTTCAATGTCCACTCCAAGAGATGAATCTGTCTGCAAAAGCTTGGGTGAAATCTGAATCTTTAAACCGGATTTGATGTGGTGAGAACCAACAGACAAAACCCGAGGCTTTTCGGAATCAAATCCAAGATTCTGAACCGAGAGCAAGTCCTTACTCTTGCATATATCTAAGACAAGCCCTCCCGCAGAACCAATATCATCAAACTTGAACTCAAGGCTTAACAAATTATCAAAAAGTTTCCGATAGTGACAAAGAAGTCGAGACGGTACCTGACCAACAACATGCTCCTTGAACTTCTTCAACTCATCTCGCATACCATTCATCTCATAAATGCAAGACATGATCACAATCGAGTCTGCATCCGCAATGACATCGACTTTTGCCATTAGCTCGATAAGTTCTTGGCCTTTGAGAGAGAGACCAAATCTCACACAAGAACCGAGTACAAGATTAAACAAGACCGTATCAGGCTTCATGACTTTCCCGGTGCGGCTATTTCTTTTCGACACATTCAAATCCAAAAAGCGATCACAAACCTGAACCAAATAATTCGAAGCTAGACAAGTCCCGACCTCTGTTTTCACCATGTGCATCACTACAAGCCTCAACACATCTGAGGTTAAGACATATCCCTTCTCCAGCACTGTACGAAGGATGGTACAGGACGATTCAGGCATCTGAGCTCTCGCTAGAGAAAGAGACAGCTTAGTGAGAGCATCTCCGTTTAACAGACCTGAGTTTTGCTTCAATGCCAAACGAGTCATATCATCAGCCTTGCGAAGCCAAGCGGAATCAGACGAGTAAGACAACACAGTCACAAACCTGTTCATGATCGCACTGTTCGGAAAACCATAGAGCCGTTTGAAATCTTTAAACACATCCCACGCATCATCTACACGGTGATCCTTAAGAGCTGTTTCGAGCTTCTTCTTGAGAATCACTTGAGAAGAAGCTTCCCAGCTTAATCGAGCAGGTTGAACATTAGTGCAGAACAGAGCCGGTTTCGAGGGTGTACCAACTATACGACTACACAAAGCTTCCCCTAGGGTTTCTACGTTACTGAGATCGAATCGACGCAACGATTCTAGAACTAAATTCCGTTTCCTAAACATCAATTTCGAACTCCCAATCTAGAATCTAGCAATGAAAGGATCTAGCTTTGGAGGAACCCAAATCGAAGTAAAACAAGAAAATGAAAAAATAACATAAGAATTCTCCAGTTGAGAAAGAGCCCTAAATTGCTGAAAACTTGGAGTCGAGAGAGAAGAGACCAACACTGGAGTCCGACGGGGAGTGGCAAGACCGTAAATTTTGTTGGGTTCAAGAACATTTGTATCTTTTTTGCTTTTGCGGTAAAGGGCTCAACAAAATCTCTCATTTACAATTTTGACGCTAGTAAGATTTGATTGGAACAATCAGACCCCCAACAACATAACAAAGCTTGTAGTCTTCTTACTTTCAAATTTTCAATGAACAAACGTATAAATGTGATATTTACACACTAAAAACTCATTACATTTCCTAAGTATATATGAAGTACATGATTGGTGATTACGCTCATTTTTTTTTTTAAAGCTTAAACCAAGGATTTCAAAACTGTTCTGAGGAATAAAAAAAGGAACCCAGAAAATAATAATTTCAAAAAATAAAATTTGCTCTACTGTGTTTGCAAACAGATGCCGATTACACCGATCAACTCAGAATTGGTCTTTGCTATAGTTCTTCGCAAACCAGTTTGATTGATTCTTCATGTGGCAATCTCATCGACCTCCGAATTGAAGACAAAGCTCGGAAACGTTGTTGTTATATCCCTGGCACATATTTATGTATTTATACGTTAATAAAATTTCTCTAACATTTCATTTCTCATATTATTTTTTGAGTTTTGGTTTACTCATATTATTTTTTGAGTTTTGGTTTACTATAAAAGCCAAAGTACCTGAGATATGGGAGGGTCATTATCTTAAGCAATGATGGGTTTTTGTTCACGAAATCGCTCCACTCTATTTTATCAATCTTTCCATCTTGATTCACGTCTGCGTCTTCAAATGTCTGTTCATGAATGAAATGAAAGAAAAGATACCACACTAAAACTTTAGCTCACATGTATAATCTATTGTAAATATACAAAAACTCTATAATTAAATTGGACCACAAACCTTATCTAGTATTATCTCTATGGTTTCATCAGCCAATTTCATTTCAGATTCACAGAGAAGGGCGATTAACATTTGCTTAACCTGCAAAAATATCACACACGATTATTGATTTCCTGCAATGATATTACGTAACTGATGCGTGATCAACAACATCAATTCCAACTTCTTGCTGACAAAGATTTCCTAACTAAGTAATATTAACTCTTCTAAATTTAAACCTCAACAAGAAGAGGGCTCTGGAACACCAAAATTACTCTGTTCCACAGCTTTCTTTTTACAAATCATTTAGACAGCTTAAATATTGGTCATTAATAAGTTGAAACAGAGGCAGGATATTATTAATTACCTCTTGGCGTTCAATGAAACCCGTACAGTCCATGTCGTAAAGCCTAAATGTAACTGAGAAAAATCGTAGACCAGAATCAATAAAACCCTTCACTTGTGTCAACTTACAATAGATATGAGATTCTCTGATGTCAACTTACAATCTATTTTGTCTTCTAGAGAAGCATTGGGGTGAAAAACATTGAGTGATCTGACAAAGTCCCCAAAATCAATGACTCCTTTTCGTTTAACATCAAACATATCAAATATCTGCAATGAAGCATAATTCTTTAGTTTAATGGACATTAACATCTTTTCGATTAACCTCAGATTACTCTTCAAGAAGAAAAAATTTGTCAAAAAGCCTGAGGAACTTAAGAGTTTACCCTATTAGCAAATATATTCTCCCTCTTCCGGCTCTTGAACAATGCAAGTTGAAACTCCTCCTGCATACACGTGAAGAAGGAAATTTTTATATTACAAAAAAAAAGGTGGGCCATGAAAGCAATCAATAAAATAAACTAAATTCAGGTCAAACATTCCGGGCTAGTAATAGAATACATTGAATTGGTGCAATATGGAATAGACAGATAGCATGGAAGAATCATTATTGCTCAAATAAAATTGGCTAAAGTCAACTAAGTGGACAAAATGCTGTAGATGAATAACGTAAAGAGGAAAAAAGTTTACACCGGTGGGGTCATAAAAAAGATCCAAAAAGGGGTCAAAGAAACAGAATTATCAAATCTTTGTACCTTATTTATCAAACCATCATCAACAACGGAACTGCTTATGCTCTTGAACAGCTCAAACAATGCTTCAACCTCACTCACACTAACTGGAAAATAGAAAAACAAACGACACTGCGAGATCAAAACAAAAAGTACCACGAACAAACAAAGAAATTAATCCACTTTGCAAGTTTTTGTATTCATATATAAACAGTAACCCAAACCGGTTGTGAACATGAATAAAAACAAATTAGGTGATGGTATTGGTAACATGTAACATGTCGAAACATGAATAAAATGAACTAACTTTGAAACATGTTGACTATGCATGAAGGACCCTTTTTCAACAGACAGAACAGAAAGCTAATGAATCCAAAAACATGTAAACTAGATCAATGAGCAGAGGAAGAAGGATATAATCTAGCTGATAATTCTCATATCAGAAAACAAATGAGCATGCAGATTCGTAAATGAATCTAGAGGAGCCTTTTGAATCTAATTACGAAAGTAACTTACAGGCTGTCTCGGAGGCAAGCTTTACAGGGTCTTCGTGTCCTCGAAATTCTCTGGCTACCTTTGAGTGGAAGCAGCCCATTTACAGATGAAACCGCGAGAAGCAGAAGGAAGAAGACAGAGGATAATCCGACGGCTAATTCAGCGATTTCAGAGATGCTAAAGCTTGATTTGATACTGTTACTGCCAATAATCACAAACATCATATTTTTAGAAATTTCAAACAGAACACAATGATTGGAACAAAAGACAGAACAAAGACCATTTGAACAGAAGCAAAACATCAAATAGACTCATTGGAGCGTAAAAAACAAAATTGAAGCAACGAAAGAGAACTCTAGAATCTCAACAACTTCGGGTCAAAATTTTCTGGGTATATAAGTCTAAACCCTATCAAATTAGCATCAAATAAAGAGTTCTTCGAGTTCGTAACATAGAAAATACAGAAATGAAATCAAAAGTAAACCATGATTCGAAACCAGAAGGGAAAAAAAAAAAATCAAACAGGGAAATGTAGAATTACGCAGCCCAGAAATCAAACTAAAAACCACGAAATTCGACGGGAAGAAAAAAAATCGAAAAAATCATAAGCAAACACTCACCACCTAAGAGAACGGCTATGGCTAGCCGGCGAGATTCAGAGAGAGAGAGGAGCGAGAAACAGCAAAAGAGAAGGCGACGATCTGTGTGTAGGGATTGGTGAACGTTGATGGCAAAGATGGATGAATCGGACGGTTAATATCAATTACTCTTTTTTTGGGTGTTTTTGTGTTCTTTTTGGGGAGAATTAAGGGAAATAAGTAGCGGCTTATAAGATGGAATTCGCACGTGTGATTCTCATAAACGCGTGCGAGGGGAGTCAGTTCTGGAAGTTAATAGATCCTCGTGTATTTTCTGTTAGACCGTACCCAAACACCTCAACATTCATCTCTTTGTTACTTTTTCATTTAGGTACAAATACAATTTCTCTTCTGTTTTTTTTTTTAAATTCTTTTTTTAACTTTTTAAAATTACGTAAGCATACACGTTGCTGCATGGTGGAATGAAAAATATTTATGGTGTATACAAAAAACATTTATTGGTTGTTGTTGGGCAAGAAATTCCAAAAATCGGTTTTTCCAAAAATGAAATATCCATCTCATCCGGAAAATTCAAAAGATCCGTCCATATTATTATCTAATAGTCAAAAAGTCCAAAAGTCAAAATGGTACCTCACTAGGAATATTCTGAATATACGAGACCAATAGACCATGTGTAATACTAACGTTTTCAGATATTTTAGTTAAAAACGAAATCATAGCTTTTAGAGCGAATATTGAAGATTGATGTAGAAAACGCTAATAATAAATTCCGGAAACATCTTTCTTCGACTGATTGTAATGTGCTGTTTACTTTCTGGAGACGTGAGAGTTGGTGGTGGTCAACCATCTTCTTTCATTTGCGTATTCTTTTCTTTTTTCTTCTTTCTCTCTTTTCATTTCTTTCTCTTTTTGCTTTTTCATTCTTTTATTTTAAGTATATTGGTTTTAAGTTTTAACACCTACTTATAAATGATACATACACGGATTAGAGATTAGTTCAAATATTTTACTAGGTGAAAACTATTTCATTTTTAAAAACTAAAGAAACCAAACTCGACCAAACCCAACAAAACGAATTGTATATTTAAATGAAGGTGTTGATTAAACCTATTTTTCGTTGATATTATTTTGATAAATAAACCAAAACTAAACTTTTGTTTGAGTTTTGGACACTTCAACACACAGACCCATTGTACACATCAATAATCCATCAGAAAATGATATTTACAGGATACCGTTGATAACTGAGAATAGGCTCTAGCTGTAATTATCTGTCAATATATTAGTTGATTTTAACATACGTTTATTAACTAAATAGATCTTGAAGCCTATTATCTTATATATATTTTTTGAGCATTAATTTTCTATAATATTTCGAATCCCTGTTTATTGTAAATTATAATTTTATGATTTATATAGTTGCAGACAAATCGATACACCGGTCTGCAACGTGGCAGGCAAAGGTTGACATATTGAGGACCTTAATCACGACCTGACCTCGTGATTATCGTTCAAAATGACTATACAATTTTATATATTAATTTGTTTGATTATGATTAGTAGGTTTGATCCTTCGGCCGTTACTCGAATAAACCCCACTTTCTAAAGGTCTATAAAAATGGCTATCTTGTAAATAATTAATAGTTTTATTCTCTCATCGTAGTATAATATAACAACTCAAATTTTTAATTCGAACATTTATTCACGTCATACTCCTAGACTAGGAGTCCTAGTTTACATTTGTTAGAATTGTTATTTCCCAAAGTTAATTTACACGGATTATTGATGCTTTCAGATTATATATAAAATATGTCATTTAATTATTCAGATGAATATAAATTAAATTAAATAAAAGAATAAATAATCAGAAAGATAGAGTGAAAACTACAGGCCGGCCAAAAAGAAAACTACACTAGGATAGTAGGATCTATACAAAACTAAAATTGATACGTAAAATGTTTTAACATCCAAAAGTAATACGATTTACTTAAACGTTTCAATACGTCAACATAAACATGTGTCGAATGCTTAGTCTTTTAATTGTTAAATCGGCCAATTACTTTAACTTAATTATAATACTTCAAAATCAAATCAATCACTCTATGGTTGGCTTGAATTGACTATTTGACATGGTCACCGGACGTGTCGGGAACGCGTCGGTGAACAATAGTTTTATTATAATTCTTTTTAAATACAAGATAACTTTTTCGGATCGATTGTAATGAAGAAAACTGTAAGACTTCTATATCGAACTCGTCAAAACACTCTTCACAAGATTGGGGTTTCATTACTCTCCACAGGAGACAAATCAAGTTGCAGATCGTTTTACCAAAGTTGGCAAGTCATCAATCACGAGCTTTTAAATCTTACTTATATACTCCTCGACGTATCAACAATATAATATTTAATGATCATGTATATCAAAACTTATTAAACTTTTAAATCTTAGTTACATTCTGAGGAATACAAGGTATATTTAAAAAATAGAAAAACCTAACCATAGAATGTTTCATGAAGAACGCGCATGAAACATGAACAGTAGTAACTTCATGGAGACGAAACCAATAGCTCACAGCCAACAACACACTGAAACAGAACGCTAAAACACAAAGACGTTGACCTTGGATCTCTCCAACTCAACAAGCTCTTCACTCTTTCTCCTTGCGTAGCCAAATTTCCCAACGTAAACATCGTCCTCCTTTGCGATCTCAGTAACCTTACCTATCAAACATCGTCCAACTTCAATTTTGTTAACGTATCCTAAACTACCAGCATGTTAATTTATTATGAACTCATTACTGTATTTCATAGAAACGCTTTATTTAGGCCACTAAAGTAACATGATTAGCTAAGTAATTGCAAGAACTATCTATATGGTAAAGAACGGGGACAAATAGGCTACATAAAAGTTGCTTGGTAGGGAGAAATAATTGTACCTTTTTATTTTCCCAGATCATGCCAATGGAATTTGACTAAGATGATTTTCTAAGATTACAAGAAGCAGGGAGGTCTCAAAACTTTAGAAAGACCTTTGTTCGGAAACAAAAATTAGGCCTTTAATCTAATTTTGTAGATCATTGAAAAAATTAGTGTTCACTACAAGTTTATTATTTTTATTCATATTTTCTACATTTTTAAATTTATTTTTATACACACACAACGTATATACATAGTAGGCTATCAATGAATCATTTTTTTTTTGGCAGGTTTACCTCACACTTTGCTCTACCCTGCTTGCATCTGCATTGGGAGCGTACAACGATGCTGTTTTCAAGATTAGATTGTCACACCAGTTTTGTGGGTCGGTGGTATGATCTGTCTGTACTTTCTAAGACATTCATGTATGCATCTCTACCCATTTTAATAGTGTTCTATCATTTTCTCTACTTTGACTTTCCCTAATTTATTCTTTTGGATTTCAAGCTCCAAAACGTATTTGGGTGATCATATGAAGACTTTCTGTTAAGCGCCTTGCCCCATTGTTCAAGACTTCAATCTGCTATGGACTTTGATGAGAAGTGAGTCATGATTTGATGGCCCCTTTTGTCTGCTTTGGTCTTCCCTAAAGACGCCTTTGATGACTAGTTGTCCAGTTAGCGATTGATTTTCATATGAGGCGAGTGTTGTGTGTTTATTCACTGCACAATTTCCCCATATCATGTTTATGGAACTCGACAAAGATGATTTTCCAAGATCTAAATAAATAAAATCCAAGGCATGTCACATATAGAATTCACTCTAAACTTGGTAGCAAATTAGCCTACTAAGAAGGTATTATTATTGATTAAACATAAATAATCAATTACTTTTTAGATTTTCATAGATAATTGTTTTGATTATAAGAGTTGATAAAAATTGTTAATTTTGCAAGAGACATTTGTTTCATAAAAAGCATTTGTAAAATTTGTACTCTCGTAACTCAAATTGTTCATTTTGAATAAAGTTTTATTTGTATTTAGACATTTGTCCATTGCGCTTCTTTGAAATCAGAAAAAAGTAACAAAATTGATGTCAGTATTAAGTTAGTTATGAAAAAATCTCTCAGTCTCTTAAACCCTAGTCGTATAATAAAGAAAATATAACATATAGGTATACTTATTTACTGTTCATATATAATTTGATATATTTTCCTATAAATAATATTTTAATTATCGAAGAAAATTCCAAGAGACAAGAAAAAAAAGCTAGCATTGCATAAATCTAAACTTGGTTCCAACTAATAAAATATACATACTTTCATCACCAATTCTATTACACTAGAAACACAAAACAATTTTATGAAATATAATAATAATTATATTCACGTATGAAACAGTTCACCAATACATGAAAATCTCAATCCAATTAATATCATCTCTTTAGCAATGAGATCGCCAGGCATATGATTGCAAAAGTGCTAAAATTGGGCAGACAAATAGATAAAAACAATGATTAAAAGTCTCATGAAAAAAATTATCATGAATAATTTCTGATGCCAAGTATATGAAGACAATTTCAAACCAAGAATAGATTCATAGAAAATCAAACATAGAAAATGAAATAGCTCATAGAGCTTTATTGTGCAAGAAAGTAAAAAAGGAAAAAGCTTTAAATGAACACCAAGATCACAATGTTTCTTAGATTAATCTAAAAAATGATAAAGAGGAGGCTCCTCACGCAGCCAAAGTTACAATACTCAGAAACATAAACATCATATTTATATGAATCTAAACTTGGATTGAAACCCTATACGCATGAGCTTTTCTTTGACATGTCTTCTTGTTGAATAACATTGGGCTTGGGCCAGATATCTCTTTACACTCCCCAGCAAACTTGGCGTCGGGTGAAATCATTGACAAGTTTGAGTCACGCAAATGAAAGTGGCTTTGAAAGAAGCATGAGTAGTCCAAGCAAAGATTGGTGTGAGATCTATGCAGGCCAATACTTGGAAAGTATTGCATGGCTCACTCAGAGGTATTTCTTTGATACTTGGAGAGCTTAGTCAATCTTCCTCAGAGGTATTTTCGACCTCTTTATCTCACTTAGAGTTTGGGTATCCTTTACCCATTTTACTCCCCTAATTTGTCTCATGACAACAAGAATTTTTTTCCTACAGAAACTGAAATTCCACTGACTATCTACTTCTCATCCTTTAGCTAACTACAAACTGCTTCTAATCATTCTGCCTTCCTCTTTGGCATATCATCGAACACCTTATG